AAATACATGACTAAAAGGTGGATGCTTAATAATGAATACTCATTGCATCCATTGTGCAATAGAGGGTTAACTAGAAACTGTATCTTAAAAATGCAACGCTCACATCTGTCTGATGCATATGTGCATAGACGAACCCTTAAAAATGATCGCAGATACATTTCAAGAATGCATCCTGGGTCTTTACAGTATGGACCCTGTTCTATGTGAGTAGATTTATTATGTCAGTGTGGCGTTATCTTGACAGATGTTGAAAATGAATCATTTTTGTTTGTCTTTCTGGGATGTTTTAGGGTTTGTGCATGTGATAGATTGTTCCATATGTGAGAATTCCATAGGAGCAGCACACGCTGATAAACACACTTAGCGCAAGAGGAATGTGTGTGTCTATGGCTCATTCTCATGTTGTTTATTACACACACACACACACACTCACACACACATCATGCGCTGATAGTTCTTGCTAGGGCTATACATTACACTAGGTAAACCTTCTCTCCAGTTAAACATACTGTAAGAGGACTTTCTAGAAATATACTGCTTTATGTGGTATATGTTTACTTATATGTCTGTATATGAATTCCTAGTTAAAGGAATAGTTCACCCAAATAGTTCATCCTTTATTGTGGATTTGTATTTTGGCCAGAAAAAATGATTTAAAGTTATAATGCCTTAATGATGGATTTGTTTCTTACAAACAAGCTTATCACCTCACAAGACATTAATTGATGAACTGGAGTGTGGATTACTTGTGGATTATTGTGATGTTTTTATCAGCGGTTTGGACTCTCATTCTAACGGCACCCATTTACTACATTTGCAGAGGATCCATTGGTGAGCAAGTGTTATAATGCTAAATTTCTCCAAATTTGTTCCAAAGAAGAAACAATCTCATCTACATCTTGGAGGCTGTGTGCATTTTCAGCAAATTTTCATTTTTGGATTAGCTATTCCTTTAATGGCGTAAATAAACAGGTCATACATGCATATTAGTTGGTGCAAGATTATATAGGGCAAAATGAACTTCCTCAAAAGATGTGTTTTGCAAGTATAACGCATTTCTATAATTAATTTCTCATCTACATAAGTGCTTTTTAGTGTGTAAGCAGTGCGTCTGGAAAAGCACGCGCACAAAAAAGCACACATGATGCAATATTTGGCAGCGTAATGTAATGATGTTATTTTAAATGTAATTAGCTCACCCATTTGCATATTAGCCTTATTTATTGAAGATCGCTGGAGTAGATCTGTCAGCGGTGATATCGTGCTTAGCACATTATGGTTTGCTAACTGACTCAGCCCGGTCATGAAGATGGGTGATTGTTGAACGCTCAGCGGGCACAAAGGCCTCTCGTTAGCCTCCTAAATGTGTGTGAACTGGCACTGGGATCAATGGCAGCAGGCTTGTGAAAGGCTGGTTCATAATGAACCCTTGAGAGCTCGTCACTCACCCGCTGCGAGGTAGAGAGAAGCCAAAAGATGGACGTGAGCTCAGAACTTTTATGCTTCTGTTTACAATTGAGAAAAGGTTGCTGGTCCTAGAATAGCATAAATGGGTCACCTCTATGGGAAAAGTCTAGCCACATTAACGTTAATGTACAGCCAGGTGATGGAGGGGAGGGGAGAGTGTGTGGGTCATAGATCGTTAAGTTCATTTAGAGAGGAAGGTAATCTAGTAGAGTATCTGTGGGTAGTAAGAGCGGGGTCAGGGGTGAACTAGAGTGCTGGTTAGTGCTGTTTTATTAGGTAAAATGATTGAAAAGAGAACCGTGGGGCTATTCTAGATTAGAGTGTCTTATTTTGTGAATGGCATCCTGCTCTTTGAACCAAACTAAAGGCTTTTGTTGCAGAACTGCTCATTTTGAGGTCTGTGATGGTGAAACCTGTGCGATTTTTTTTTTCACTTGTTTACCATTTCAATCCATACAGTGAAAGTGAGTGGGGATGGATGCTTTTGAACTCCAAAAATGTCAACAAAAGCATAACAGAAGTAGTTTAAACAAATGTTAAGATATAGTATACATCTTTAGAAGCCATATGAACTACAGTTCTGTTCAGAAGTTCTTTTATAAGGCATGATTTTTAGTAAGCGTTGTTTAGTGTAAGAAATTAATATTTTACTAAGCTTGGATGCATTAAATTGATCAAAAGGCATTTATAATATTGTAATAAATGCTGTTCATCAAACTTTCTATTCATCAAAGATCCAATAAGACCAAAATATTAAGCAGCACAGCCGTTTTCAACATTGCAATTAATAAGAAATTTTCTTGAGCAGCAAATCAGCATATTGGAATGATTTCTGAAGGATCATGTGACACTGAACACTGGAGTAATTTCAGCTTTGTATCACAGGAATAAATTACATTTTAAAATATGCGTTATTTTAAATTGTAATACTATTTCACAGTGTTACTATATTTTTTTACTGTATTTTAAGCATAAAAGACGTCTTTCAAAAAACATTTAAAAGTCTTTTGAAAATATTTATATATATTTTAATATACATACAGTATTGACATTTTAACCTGTAATGCCAATTGGAGTTAAAATTCACTTTAAGATTTAAAATCATGCTCTCTAACAATTGAATTTTAGAAATTGATTAATTTTTTTAAAAATCTGAATGTTTTAATGAAGTGCATGATCTTGTGTGCAGTGGCTCCGTGTGGCTGTCATTATCTGTTCTTTCATTTCTAGCAGCCGTACATTGCAGTTTAGACGACTGAGCTGGCTAGCACTCATCCATTCTTTCTCTCTCCCTCTCTCTCTCTGAAACAGGTGCTGTGTTAATTGGTAAACAGTCATGGTTTACTGCTAGATAGGCTCACTTATGATTCATTTAGCTTCCTCTTGGTCATCAGACAGTCTGTTCAGGCCTCTTGTGTGAGTGTGCATGTGTTGTTATATGTGCTGAAGTGGTAGGAAGATGAGGCTGCAGCAGATGGTCTGTAAACTGTGCTCGAGCTGGACCCCTGTCGAGTCTGCCCTTTGTTGCACGCATGCATTCCTATGTGAGCGGGTCGGTGCATATGCCATGACACTTTAGTCTTGGCTTAGGTTGCTGTTATCTTACCCTCCATTCATCTCCAGCCTCAGGCGGTGGGCTGCAGCTCAGCATTCCGGGTTTTTTCTCCTTCATTTCCATTTGTAAAACAGGTGTGGATGCCGAAACACTAGCACAAGTTTCTGAAATGTAAATGAGATGGGTTGTGTTGATTTTTCAGATATTCTTGGAATGGTTTTATTTGTTGTTTTAGTTAAAGAAAATGTATCTTAATAGGTCCTATAAACAACTGTATCATAACAAAGGCCATTATGTGTGGAATAATTTAAATCTACAGACGGTTTGAGATGGCAATACACCAATTTTGGTGCATGAAACCTTACAAAAAGTACAAAATATGAGCTTGCTTAAATGGTTTTTGTGCCAATATTCCATTGCCATGTCTACTTCGCCTCAGTATGCAAACTTTCAATCGTAGAACATAATACAGGGCAGAGTTTGTAAATTTAACACCTTGTTTGGCTACCCAAATGAAGGCAAACAGTCGTTTTTCATAAATGAAACGAATGCAAATCTAACAAGCAAGTAAGCTGAAGCTCCCAAGTCTCCAAATCTGACAAAAAAGCTATTTCCGAATGATCAATTGCTCCGTTTCGAGGGGTGCCGTGGAGAAATCAATGGAATCACCGCTGCCGTTGTTGTTCCTTCAATGATTTCCATCTGCTTTGCTTCTCGACAGTCCATAAATACATTTTTAATGGTTGACAAACTGATCTCGTTGCAGATGAAAATCGATGATCAAGACAGCGAGAGTCCCCAGAGAACTACACAAATGAATACAATGAATAATTTAGTCTTTCACACTAATCATATCTCCATTAACTCTTAAAACTCTGCCTCAGTGTAGGCACTGGACATGTCGGACAGGCTTTTAAAGACTGGTAATCATCTCTCTCCTTATGGATGAGGGGCAAGATGTATCCGGTATTGATCTGCTTTTTTTCTGTGTATGTGTGTGTCATTTGCTTAAACCATTTGAATCAACACAACACCCACAAAAGAGGTTTTACAATCTGATGAGAGCTTAAGTTCCCTGAATGACATTTTATTCTCAAAACCTGTCAAAAAAAAACAAACATTAAATACCATTAAAGTAGGGGTGGGCGATATGACCAAAATCTTATATCACGATATGAGTAATTTTATATCACGATAACAATATATATCACAATATCGTTATTTTTTTCTTTTAAAATGGTTTTTATGATATTAAAATCTTTGATACCACATCATTTTCATAATCTTTGTCACCAATGTCAATATCAAACTAATACAAGCCTAAAAAGAAAAAAAACAATGTATTTTGCGACACCACGAAATAAACGTAATATGAAACAATATACTTTTTATTTCGTCCATCCAATATATATCGTCATATCGCACAGCCCTACATTAAAGCCTTCATTTTAATTTCATGAGCCAGCTCAAATGGCCCATGCATGCTGTTCTCACAAACAAGACAGACACTTCATTCCCCAGCAGACTAAACATGTGACGTCTCAGGCCCAGCACCCTTCACAGATGTCAACACACCTGTACATTGTAAATAATGGCTTTGAGTCGAGGGTTAATGACAGATCACAGAAGTGGCATTGAGGTTTAGTACACAAAGGCATGTTCTGCCACTCATCTTTAATGACCGAGACCTTATTGGTTGTTGACAAGTGGTTTGTTGAAGTGTATAGGAGTGAGCAAATAACTCCAATTGTCATTGCTGTTGTAAAGGAAAGTTTCGCAGACTAAAAGAAGTAAAGAAAGCTCAAGATATTTTCATTTAGCTGGCCCTCACAATTGAAACCGTGTATGCAAATGATGACTTTTTTGAACTTTTTGGATATTCATGTTAAATGTTATTGTGTTTTTACATGGAAGAAAGAAAATGTTAACATTTAAACCCAACACACTTCTGACTATTATTTCAATGTTCTCTCTGTAGGGGGCGACAGGGAGCGAATGACATCCAACCATGAGACGTATCTACTTATGGCCAGCACACAGAATGACATGGAGGATTGGGTGAAGAGCATCCGCAGGGTGATATGGGCTCCGTTTGGAGGAGGTGAGCTTCTGCAACCAGTTTGTCAGAATAAGTCATTGTTGGTTAATGGATATAAACTGGTCACAGTTTAACTTTGCTTTACTTGCACAGCCTCAACTTTGCTATATATTATACTACTGCATAAGTACTGCACACTGACTAGTTAAAGGAGCCAAATAATATTTAAACCTCTGCTTGCAACGTTAACAGCTCTATATTATCCAGCAGCGATTCCCATTACATCTTTAAAATATTAGGGCAGATATAAGATTAAAGGGATAGTTCACCCTAAAAGAAGAAAGTTGTTCCAAATGTATGAATTTTGGTTTGCTGAACAGAAATGAAGATATTATACGTTGATATACCTGTATATATATATATATATATATATATATACATACATACATTTTATCATGTCACCGGCCATTGGCAGGTGGGGCAAAAAGTTAGTCTTAGGTCCTATATATATATATGAAAAATGTGAAATATAAAAAAGTATATAAATAAAGAATTAGAATTTATAAAATTGTCAAAACTAAAAAGGTAACAAAAATAAAAATAGGTTAATTATTAATAAGTAAATATACAGATATTTATTTGTAAATATAAAATCATTAAATCATATACAAAAATCATTACAATATATTATGAAAACTGATATACAGTCAAACCAAAATGTATTCAGACACCACATTTCTCACATTATCACAGTTTATTCGCTATAGTTTAGAAAATACATTTGTGTATTTAGTTTGCTGCTCCTATATGGCTTCTGACTGTGAGAATCTAATTCAGGCCCTTTAATGAAGTCATAATTTGCTGCTGTTGGCATGTCTAATCTTTGTGAACTTAAAAACATCTAGAGCTCATTTAAATGCACATTTACTGTACTTGTTTCATTGTTTGAGTTTTTAATCCTGGCCTGAAGGTTTAGACAAAGAATATTCATTCATTCAAAATTCATGCTTTTATTCTATATTCAAGAAGATTAAAACGATCTTTCTGCATATAATCTTTTCCGCCAATGAACTGGAAGACCTTCTAGGCTGAGAGTGATTCGCCCCGTTGTTCAAACGTCCACAAAAACACGGCGGTGTGAACAGCAGGAATGAGGGCAGAAGGCTGGGAACAGCCACAACAGACGATTACACAGCTAAGAGCTTAGTAGCTTTTTAACACTAACCTTATGGGACAGAGGGGGTTGTTTTGGCCCTGTCGTACTCTCTGCTATGAAATACAGGTCAGGTCAGAGCTTTGGATGGATGGAGTAGTTCGTCTCCTCCCCTTTAAATCCAAACCTCCTTAAAGAAGGGAACGGACTCAGCTTCCAGATGTACAGGAGTAGAGGACTGAGAATATAAAGGAATGGCTTCAGGGCAATCTGATGAATCAGTGGACGAAAAGGAGACAAGATGAGATGAAGAGAAGGGATCAGAGGAGAGAAGAGAAGACCAAAGAAACTGTAAGAGCTCAAAGGGTGCGAGACTGTAACAAGGGACAAAAAGAATTGAGGAAAGACCATCAAAAAATGAAGAGACAACCTCAAAGGTCTGAAATGAGGCAGGAATACCTAAAAGGTGCAGGACTGTAATGAGAGGAGAAGATAGTTTGCAAGAAGAGCCGGTCTGACAGCTGCTCATATTTGATATTTTGTAGGATAAGAGCCTTGCAGCAGCACAAAGAGCACATGAGGTCGACAGAAAAGCCCTGGACAGCTTGAAGACGGCGTGAAGTTGAGTGTCTGTGTGTCCAGTGTTGTTAAGTGACTGCCATTGCACACAGGGACAGCAAAGTCAAGTGGAAGTCAGAAGAAAAGCTCAACCAAAATGAGATATTAAAGCCCTGAGGATTCACAGATAGGAGATCCAGGCTTGAGAAACCACAGTGTAAACCAGGTGAACTCACTGAAAGGAGAGGAGAACCATCAGGAGATTACGTTTGGCTGGAAACACAAGTCTGATTCCTCACAAACTCTTTCCATGGGAAACAAGAAACTCATGCAAGAGCTTCTGCATAAATCATTGAAGAATTGAAGCCAAGCCAATGTCTACATTCAATTTTTTCTTCTTAGGTTCCTGTGCTTTAGCCAGATCACCATCTCACACCTGTGTGGTCGCCATTAATAACAGACATCGCTTGTCCAGAGATGCATCATAGGAAACTTCTCTGTTTATTCATCCAGAAAGAAATGTATCTAGAAAAGTAAAACTATCTACGCAAGTCAAGTCCTTTTTCTTCATTATTTTGAGGTCCAGTTGCGATCCAGCTATGGAAGTTCCCAAAGCTTTTTCCCAAGGCTGTGAATGGAGGAAAAGAACATTTTGGATGATTTTTCAGCAGTAGTGTGATTGTAGGCCACTTTGGACTTATTGCTGAAGATGCTCAGAGGCAGACAGTTTGGATGCACCTTCTTGCATCCCTTATTTTACTACCTTTTCATGCACAGAAGCGTCTTGCGTAAAATTAAAAGTTGCGTCAGCTTCAAACATGGTGAGTTTGATGCTGAAAATTCAGCTTTGCATCACAGGAATAAATTACATTTTAAAATATATATAAAAAGAAAACTGTTACTCTACATTGTAAAAATATTTCACAATATTAATTATTTTACTGTATTTTTAATCAGTTAAATGCAGCCATGTTGAGCATAAGGGACTTATTTTTAAAATTAAAAAATTTACTGACAAACCTACAAACTTTTGAACAGTATTTAGTTTAACTTGAATGCAGACTAAGTCACTTTGGATAAACATGACTACTAAATGTGTGAATGTAAATGATATCAAAGAAGTACCATCTCATTAATGCCTGAATTGAGTCCTCATTAAATCCAAGTTTACTCTGGCTCCAGTGACAAATCAAAGCGAAAAGATGCAGTTGACAGTGACAGCTTTGTTTAGAGCCTGTGAAACTTGTTCAACATACTTTCACTTTATATTAAAACTCATATAAGTGTGCCATCTTTTGATAAAAATAGATGTGCTTTCTTCTCAGATGCCTGGCATTACAATGAAGCAGAATCTAAATCTGGAATATTCACCCAAGATTTCACATTTATACATTAACAAGACAAATTAATCCTTTTTAACACCTCCAGGTTTTTCATTTCGTGCAGTTTTCCAAATGACCCATTTACCATTTAGTAGATGTTTATCCATTATTCGCCTGAAAGTGCAGTTATGTTGCCCATTTTAAGCTAACGTCCCTTCACATTACCCTAAAATGTAAATGCTGGACACTTTCTCTCTCTGAAAAAGCTTTCTCTGCACTTCCACAATACCAAATGCTGCAGATAACACCAGCAGCAGCTGCTTCCCCGGTTTATTTGCAATCTGTGAATTTAGGGCTCCACAATCACTTTGTCGGGAAGAGACGTGGCAGGGAAGGCACACTGCATGTTTAACACCGTTCATATTTAGATCTCACTGGTGTCTGAAGCAAGGTGATAATTATGAAGGGTCAATTCACAGCATGTTACATTATACACATGCCTGCTATTCCTGTCCAGCCCACCCGGGATGAGCCAATAAATCCAGCTTGTTACGGGATTGTCACAAGTCCAAGTCCTCTATGGGACCGTTACCGGACTGATCAGTGACATGCTAGTGCTTTCTTTGATTTAGTACCAGCTTCCTGTCCACTCATCATTAGATCCGCTGGGATACTGACACATCATGGACACCCACAATCTGTCATTTAAAGTGCCCTACACTGTTTTTACACACGTTATGCTTCTAGCCTTTCATTCTTTGAGGCATTTATATATGTCTATTCTTTCCATCTTTCGCTACAGTAACACAGATGTTCACACCGTGGCATCTTTGCTGAAGCTGTACTTGAGAGAGCTGCCCGAGCCGGTCATCCCGTTCTGTAAATACGAAGAGTTTCTGGCCTGCACCAAACTCCTCAGCAAAGACCAGGATGCAGTGAGTTATCTCTTGTTGACCATCACATTGCAAGCATATAATCCTGTTATATATACTTGGTGGCTATAACATGTTTCATTACTCAAGGGTGCAATGGTTTTTTTCAAATGTTTGTGTCATTAATGATGAAAGTTGCCAAATACATATACAGTACTACAGTTCTAATGTTTGGGGTGGGTACACTCTTAAAAATAAAGGTGCTTCACAATGCCATAGAAGAACCTTTTTTGTCTAAATGGTTCCATAAAGAACCTTTAACATCTGTTTCACAAAAGGTTCTTTGTGGCGAAAGAAGGTTCTTCAGATTATAAAAAGTTAAGAAAGAGATGGTTCTTTAAAGAACCTTTGACTGAATGATTCTTTGTGGAACCAAAAATGGTTCTTCTATATGGCATCGCTGTGAAGAACCTTTTAAGCACCTTTATTTTTGAAGTGTAATGTTTTTTTTTTAATGGTGGTGAAAGAAGATTCTTATGCTCATCAAGTGTGCATTTATTTAATCAAAAATGCAGTAAAAACCGTAATATTGTGAAAAATATTATTACAATTTAAAATGTGATTTTTTTATTTGAATATATTTTATTATTTATTTCTGTGATGCAAAGCTGAATTTTCAGCATCAATACTCCAGTCTCCAGTGTCATATGATCCTTCAGAAATCTTTCTAATATGCTGATTTGCAAAAAAAAATCGTATTAATATCAATGCTGAAAACAGTTGGGCTGCTTAATGTTTTTGTGCAAACAGTGATTTTTTTTTTTCAGGATACTTTCAAAAGTTCAAAAGTGCAGTTAAAATGAGGCAAATTAGGCCTGAACTAAGGGACTTTTGCTCTGGTTCTGTTGTTTGTCATTTAGCATTTTACAGTACTTTGTTTAAAAGCCTACATTTTTAACTTAAGCTACACGATTTCTAAAGTTAACATATGTAAAGTATGTTGTTTTTTTCATAATGAGCCTCACTGTAGACTCAAAACATTGTTGACCTTTTTAGCTCCCCTCCTTTTGCTATTTCTTATTTTTGAGTTCGGTTCCCACCAGCAGGCTGAGAGAATGGCAAATGACTCATCCCATTATTCTACTGCAGTCGTCTTTCATCTTGCGTGCATCAATTCCTTACTTTCGCTGAGCCTGAAGAAGAACGGGTTGACCCCGAGGAACGGAAACAGCCTCATTCTGACTTTCAAGTTACACTTTTACCTCACGTGGATCACCTGTGCGTCAGCCAGCGGCTTTTGAATGGTTTCAGGATAGAATCAAAGTGCAAGACGGGGTCTTGTAACACTGAATTTAATTTACTGCCCCGAGGTTTTGAGTGAGATTCGTACCTCTGAGAGTCCCTCGAGTGCGGTACACGCAAAGAATTGCGGTACCATGTCAAATGAAGCAGAAGGCTTTACTAGATCCATTTGTTTTTGAGAAATAGCTTTCTCGTGTGGTGCAGCAAAGTCATTTTCATCAGAGCCTGCAGGGAAAAGACATATCGACCATGATAAAAACAGATCTGGAATGGAGCAAATCATTAAATCTAGACCGTCATCAATTGTTAAACTCACTGACCCATGCCTAGACGAATAGTGCCATAATAACGGAATAAATTGCAATATGAATATTTAAAGTCAATTTGGAAGACTTTTAAAACTTAATGGGATAGGTTTAATTGCTTTTTCATTCAGTACGTCTTTTAATCATGCATATTAGTCCAGATCATTTAAAATTGAATTACTATAATCAGTTTAAACAAAGGCACACATTTGTATTTCTTTTTATCCTGGATGTGTATTTAATTATTATTATATTTTAATCTCTCCCTGTGCAGGGAATGAAGGAATTAAAAAGGCAAGTAGAAGGTCTACCTCCGGTAAACTACAATCTGCTTAAATACATATGCAAGTAGGTGATTTTGTATTTTATTCCATTCAGTTGTGGCTTATCACAAAATATTATATAACAAATATGTAATAGTTCTTTGCACTAGTAGTGGGAAGTCAATCCAATCAATTGATTCATTCAAAAACCCTGATGCATTCAGGAACAGAACAAGTGACTGTAAGTGAGTCACTGAGTCAATTCACTCAATTGATTCATTCTAAAACCCTGATGCATTCAGGAACAAAACAAGTGACTGTCTTTGAGTGAGTTCTGGATTAATCCATTCAATCAATTCATTCAAAAACACTGATTCATTTGTGAATGAAAAAGTGATTGTCTTTAAGTGAGTCACTGAGTCTGTTCACTCAAAACACTGAAAAAGTTGAAAAACACTGATGCATTCAGGAACAAAACAAGTAACTGTTTTTAAGTAAGTAACTTTGTCAATTCACTCAGTCAATTCATTCAGAAACACTGATGCATTCAGGCTGTCTTTGAATGAGTCAGTGAATCAATTAACTATTGATTCACTATTTAAAAAAATAAAAAGAAACATTTTATATTAAATAACTTGTATGATGTTTTCATAGCATAATATCAATTTTAGAGTTTTGAAAACAAGTTGTTTTTGCATTGCATTTATTTGTTGTGAAAAAAAACCTTATTTTTGTATGCAACAATCAAGTTAAATTTTTTTTTTTGACACACATTCAACTTTGTACATACAGTTTCTGAAATCTCAGTTGTAATGTTAAGACCCTTCTTTATTGTCCAGGTTTTTGGATGAAGTTCAGTCCTACTCAGGTGTGAATAAAATGAGTGTACAGAATCTGGCCACGGTCTTTGGGCCAAATATTCTAAGGCCAAAGGTTGAGGACCCAGTGACTATAATGGAAGGTAGGTCTTCCTATCCATATCTCTCACTCCAGAAATCTCTGGATCTGGATTATATTTAGTGTTTGAGTAATCTATTTATCATTTATTCAGGCACAGTACTGGTCCAGCAATTGATGGCTATTCTGATTGGCCACCATGATGTTCTTTTCCCACCCGATGAGGACCATACTAGCACTCTGGAACTGGTTAATAATAACAATAATGAGACGCAAAAACGGCCTACGAATGGTCAGATTCAAAACAAAGAGAACAATAACACCAGTGGGGTGCGACAGTGCACTTGGGACACGCCAGAATCACCCAGCCGGGCTCCTCTGGACAATGGCTCTCCTCGTTCAGGCAGCCCACGTAATGGTTTTACGGGACAACGATTCGAGGTGGCCCGCAGTCCGCCAATCTCCTTGAAAAAGAACCCGGCGTTTAGCAAAGGGAGTGGGATTGTCACCAATGGATCGTTCAGTTCATCCTCATCGTCCTCAGGTGATACCAATCAGGAGAAAATTCAAACTCTACCGAACATGGGAACCCTTCATGCCCGTCGGACGGGTGCGATTAAAGGCTCAGGCACCAAAATGGGCATTCAGAATGGCATCGTTCGGATGGGCGTATCCAGCGCAGATGTTACAAATGGGACTCTAAATGGACGGAATGGACTCTGGGTGCCCAACGGTCACGTCACAATGCGCGAGGCTAAAAGTCGAGACGCTGAGCACCAGCAGAACCGCCTGTCTACGTACGACAACGTCCATATCCATCAACAGCAGCCCACGCAGCCCAGTCTGAGCAGCAGCTGTGAGGACAAACAGAGCGTGGATAGCGCCACATGGTCCACCTCGTCTTGCGAGATCTCTCTACCAGAAAACTCCACTTCTTGCCGCTCGTCCACGACCACGTGCCCAGAGCAGGACTTCTTTGGCAGCAACTTTGAAGATCCTTTGTTGGACGGGCGGGAGGACAACGGACTGGCGGTGGATGATAGGGAGCAGCGGACCAGTAACGGAGGAGGCCAGGGAAGCAGAGGAACGAGCAGCAGCGATAACAGCGAGACGTTTGCCGTCACCAATGGACCGACCAATCACAGTGCTCTGCACAGCCTGGTGGCCAGTCTCAAACAGGAAATGCTCAAGCAGAAGAACGAATATGAGGCCAGGATCAAGAGGTGAGAGTCATGCTCAATCATAAAATTAACTTTGCAGAGCACAGAAACTAGTGATAGTTTTTTTCACAGTTTTGATGAAGTTAAAAATGAATAGAAAATAAAACAAATTAAATGTTATTTTTCACCCAAATTGTTTCCAACTTGCATTGCTCCGTTAAATGGAGATGGAAAATCATTTCCATTTATATATTTTTTATGTGATTTATAGGAAACTAAAACGAGAACTGAAACCAAATGAGGGATATATATATGTATAAGTTAGTTATATATAGTTATAAGTTAATAAACATAAGTTCATATATGTTAATAAATATTTGTTTCATTTTATTAAAAATTTGTTAATATTTTTAATTTTATTGAAAGTAAATATTTTTCATTCCATGACAGAATGAACTTTTACCTAAATCAACTCTTTAAGTGTCTCATTAAACTATCACAGTATTAAAAGGTGTATTTACCCACCTTTTCCCATCTTCCCTGCAGTCTGGAACTTCGGAATCTAGAGTTGGAGACGGTGATGGCGAATCTACACGAAGAGCTTGACCAGGAGAAAAAGAAATACACCATGGTGGAGATCAAGCTGAGAAACGCAGAGCGAGCCAAGGACGATGCAGAAAAAAGAAACGAGATGTTGCAGAAAGAGATGGAGCAGTTCTTTTCCACCTTCGGAGACCTGACCGCAGACCCGCGACAGCCCGACAGAGCCAACACCATCTGGATTCAGTGAGCAGTTAGTGGTCTACCATTAACATTACATTGTGTGGGCTTGTGTTCAGACAGAACGGGACTAAATCAACCTTCACGTTTGGTGCGAAGGCTCGACACGACTGAGCGAAGCCCATTGAGCCAAATTTTCAGAACTGAACGTGGACCAGTTGTTGGATTGAACCAGTTGGATTCAAGAAGAGGGATGATGGGACGATGCAGCTTGGATGTTAAAATAAAAGATGATTTTTAAACCAAAAGAAGGCAATTCTGACCTGAGAGCGAATGATAAGAGGAACTCTTGACGGTTGAGGTTGAATGTGAGGGAATGAATCAATTACATGAATGAACATTGAGTTTTAGATGATGGGAAACTCCTGAAGGACGACAGAAGCACGAATGTCACTCCTATTTCTTCTTGTGTATATATATATATATATATATATATATATATACTGTATATTGAATTATTATATACAATGATTGATGAGTTTATTTTCATTTAATAATAAAATCAATGACATTTTTCATATGTGTTTGTATTATACATTTATACTGATCATGAATTATTTAATAATTTAGCATTTTTTTAGGTAACTTATTAGTTGACATCAGGAAAAATGTGGCATGCTAATGTAAACTGAAATACTAAATTAAACAGCATCTTGCTGTTAATGCAATTAGCATGAATGCAGTGTTTATGACCTTATGTTAATTGAGAATCTACATGGAATATTCACACTTTTTAAAGTTCATTTGTCACACCATGTTGAACATTTGAAATGAACTTCTGATGTCAACAAGGTAATTAAAAATACCACCTAGAAACCAATTACAGCACCTAAGATATACACTTTCCCTTCTCACATTTATATACATTTTAAGTAGACATGTCAACAACCCATATATGAATATCTACCGGTCATCTGTCTAGGTCTTCAAATTCATTAATACATAAGACATGCAAATTCAAGAAAATATGACAATTAATTTCAAGGTCAAAGGAGTTTATTTGAGTCACATACAGATATTTATATTACATACACAGTACCTTTAAAATGTCGGGTGTTAACAGCAATCCATAGTGCTGTTTAAATCTTTAATTTAAATTTTTTTCCCCAACCATCTCATTTTATCTTGCATTTGTAGAATAATTTGATTTGAACAACAGCCTGGAGCAGGAGGTGTGAAAATGGCATTAGATGTCAAACAGCACTGCGTAAAGAACCACAGTCTCCTCCTGAAACTCAACAGAACGGCTCACTGACAGCACACAGAGAGAGATGGAGGTTTAAAAATACCAAATGAGTCCAAACGAAACCATAAAGAGTTGATTGAGTTGAACAGGAGACTCGTCACATTAACTAGCACATGGCGTGAATTCATGATTACAAAAACAATCCATTATTCATTATTCACTTAAAGAGTTGTGTTATTGCACTACTGCGATTTTTGACACTGAATAACCCTAGAAAAAAGAAATGAAATCAGAAGAAAAGAAGGACAAAGCAAAAAGAAGGGGAAGACAGTAATGTAAACATGAAGAAAGGAAGAACGAAAGGAAAGAAAACAAAAATCAAGAAAGAAGGAAAGTAAAGGAAGGAATAAGGAAAAGAAAAGGAAGGAAAGGAAGAAGGAAGAAGGAAAAGAAAATGAAGAAAGGGAGGTAAAAATAAGGAAAGGAAATCAGAAGGAAGGAAGGACAAAGCAAAAAGTAGGGGAAGACAGAAATGTAAACATGAAGAAAGGAAGAACGAAAGGAAACAAAACAAAAATCAAGAAAGAAGGAAAGTAAAGGAAGGAAAGGAAGAAGGAAGAAGGAAAAGAAAATGAAGAAAGGGAGGCAATAATAAGGAAAGGAAAGGAAAGGAAAGGAGGAAAATGGGAAAAGGGAAGAACAGAAACAGGAATAAAGTAAATGAAACCAAAAGCAAAAATGAGGAAAAACAAGAAAGGAAGAAGGAAAAGAAAAGGAAGGAAGAGAAAGAAGACGGGAAAAAGACAACAACAAAAAAAACGGGGAGGGAAGGAATAATAGACAGAAGGAAGGAAGGAAAGAAGGAAGGAAGGAAGGAATGAAGAAAAACAAAGACGGATGGAAGAAGGGAAAGGAAAGGAAAGGAAAGGAAAGGAAAGGAAAGGAAAGGAAAGGAAAGGAGGAAAATTGAAAAAGAAAAAGGGAAGAAAGGGAAAAATGGGACGGAAGAGAAAGAAGATGGGGGAAAGCAAAAAAAAGAAGAATGGAAAAGAAAGAAAGAAAGAAGGAAACAGAGAAAGAAAAAGAAGGACAGTAAAAGAAGGAAACAGAGAAAGAAAAAGAAGGAAGGAAACAAGCAGGAAATAAGACAGGAAGAAGAAAAGGAAAAGGGAAAAATAAATTAAAAGATGGAAGAACGAAAAGAAAAGGAAAGTGAAGGAAGAAAATGAAACAAGAAGGAACTGAGGAAGTAAGATGGAAAGGAACAGAAGGAAGAAGTAAAGGAAAAGGAAGGAAAATGGAAAGAAAGTGAAAGGAGTCAATAGTAATGATGAAGTGGTCTGTATTGCTCTGAGTGTTTCCATTGATTCATCAGCGGTACACTGTTGTGCAGTTTGTTTGGATGGAAGTATGTACTTCATACTAAAATAGAACATTAAATACACCTTCATTTCAAACATAACATGACAGATGTGTTTACTGAGAGCTGCTGGACTGTTTCATCAAGTGAACATGCATTTATTGATGAACATACAAGACTGGCTAATGAATGGTTTTAATCAAAATCTTAAAAAAACAAAAAAAAAAACAACTTGAGAATATTTTACAATTCCGTTCTCTAACAGTGACCGTTTCTCATAAGGCCACCATCTCGACCAATCAGTTTGAGTTTCAACGATGACATCATAATAGCACATTAAGTTACATCATTAGTTTCCTGCTCACAAACTGCACTCCCACTTTTACAAGTCAAACTCCACAATACAGAACATACTGCCACGTTCAGTACTTTACCCACAATGCCAAAGCAGTGGCATCCCACGTATATCACTGTTCTGCGTTGGGTCGCAGGTTTAGAATGGATGCTGGTTTCAGAAGCAGCATTATAACAGTGTGAAAAGTACAAACAGTCAGTGTTGACACCTACATTGATCAGAAGCCATTCCAAAATCAATCCCAACCTTTGTTATTTGAAGCACCATGGGAGAAATACACACTCCTGGGCTGAAATTCAAGGAAACCTTATACAGTTACAAGTCAACGCTTTGAGCTTAATTTCCTAACAACTGGTTTAAATGATGCAAAGTTTCAAAACGGATGATTGAGATGATGGATTCGCACTAAATTAACCCTGTGCGCGACCCGACACATACGAGGGCCCTTTCGTCGAAAAATAACCTGTATAAGATGCAAGATGGCACACCACATTGTTGTCTGTCTATTCTAAAATGAAACAAATTGGATACACAACGCAACGTTTTACAATTAGTATCGAATTCTAACAAGTGAAATACAAAAGCTACTGCATGTACGTGTCCACCCTGTTGTAAAATCATCAGCAGCCATATTGAAGTAGTTTGCAGAGAACCCCTCTCTGTCCTCTGGAGATGATATGTATTACTGGTGGGAAATGTGATGTCGATTTTTATGTTTATGATTTTAAATGGCTTTTGATATCAAGGTTCAGAGGTTGTTGTTTTTTTAAAGCAGCACCTGAATGATGTCAGCTCTCGATGTCCAACAGAAGGCTAGAATATCTTACAAGGGTCAATATACGATGTCAAAATAATCAATCACGTTTGATTAGTGTTACCATGAAAACAAAAGCACAATCTGAGCATATTTCTGCATGTGCTTAAAGGAACAGTTCACGCCAAAAAATGTAATCTGCTATCCATAATATTGCTTTTTCCAGTGGAAAAATTCGTCTTGTCTGAATCAGGAGAGAAATATGCACTGATCAAGCACTATTTACAAGCGAAGACTGTGTAAAAGTGCTGTTCAGATTTTGAGGTGAAGACAACAGGGATGGACTTTTTCACTGGATGACACATTATTACGGGTTATCGACTCGTATTTTGGCCAGAAGTTACGGTTTGAAGTTAAAATGCCTTGATGATGGATTAGTTTTTTTGCAAACACGCAGCTTTTCTCTTTACAAGACGTGAATTGATAGACTGGAGCTGTGTGGATTACTTGTGGATTATTGTGATGTTTTTTTATCAGCTGTTTGGACTCTCATTCTGACGGCACCCATTCACTGCAGAGGATCCTTTGGTGAGCAAGAAATGTAATGCTAAATTTCTCCAAATCTGTTCTGAAGTAGAAACAAGCTCATCTATATCTTGGATAACCTGAGGGTGAGTAAATATTTCACAGATTTTCATTTTTGGGTGAACTATTCCTTTAAGTGGAAACAAATATACATGAACACGCAGTGCCATATAAATGTGCTAGAGAAAAATACAAATAATTTAAATAATAATAATGAAAGAACTTTACAAAAACAGTGTTTCTGGGTGAGAAAATGAGAGCTCTGTTACATAACCAAACAAAAAAATCATGTGGATTTCATCCCTTTATTAAAACGTTTAGTACACGATCAAATCGGACAAATACAGGTACAAAACAAAACCGTACAACTTAAATATTATATGTTCAATTTACTGTGTACTGCATAATGTTAATTCAATTAAGCTAATCTTTACCTAATACTAAAAACATCAGCCATGTGTGTTTGAAAGACTACATTACTTGTCTTTTTTTTTTTTTTATGTAACAATTAAATGTGAAGAGTGGGGTTACATTGCAACAAACAGTGGCCCCAAAACATATTTGGACACATTTCAAAACCTAGTATGTTTTACAGTATATTAAAATGGTAGCTATATTGCTCATAAATGGTTTGTGGTAGTGGTACGTTCCTAGTTTAATGTGACGAACTGCACCAGTTTGAACTGGAGAAGAACTGACTTGTATTTTTATAATTCAATGACGTGTGACGCAAGTGTCCAAATACTGTTTAGGGCCACTGTAATTCTCAGATCTGGGGCTTATAACAGATCAGTGTAGAAATATGAATCCAGGTGCCTCTTTTTAACATACAATGACTTTAAATCAGACACTTGGATCTACCGCAGGATCTCTACACTAGGAGATCTACATGAATAGGGGATTGTGGGATTGGGTAAACAGACCTGACACATCCGACACCACCTGGAAAACCTCTATCAGAGCCGTCGCGTTACTATATTCGTGTTTTCGAGGAGGAAACTGCATTATTTCAAAGGCACTTCCCAGATCTGACAACAAATACATAAACTCCAGCTGAAATTTAGGTAGTAAGCACGTCGATTCCCTTCGGACAACACAAAAATATGAGTTTCGAGATGAGATTTAGTTTGCGAGGAACAAAAGGTGAGGATGAGGTGCATGCTCTCGACCTGCATTCGTTTTAGTTACACACACCTTTCAAGGTACAGCATGCAAGGCTGCCGCAGAGAGTCGGGGTTTCACAAACACAAAGGCATAAAATGACAGCGACAGTGCTTGTACCCCTCAATGGCTTCCTGTAAAGCAGCCTCACTTCCTGTCTAGCGACAGAAACGCCCACGTTCACCCTTAAATGCTATATAAACACGGTTCTCTATATTTGTATATGTATAACTAGCTTAGTTACTTTTATCTCTGACCATGCAAGACTACAGGCAAAGGGAAACGGGTGATTAGCTGTGATGTGGCAAGGTGTGCAAATACTCCCTCTACTGGCCATCAGTCCCACTCTGAGAACGCCTCACAACTGTACACAATTACATATATACAAAAGATAGGGGGCGCCATTGTACATATTATTTTATCGCACACAGACACACCAGCCCATCCGAAAACATCCGGAACAAGCAAAAAACCATCACAGAAAACAAGGGTTGAAGGGTGCTCGTTGAAACAAAACCCCACCCTGCCACATGGAGTGAAGCGCAGAAAATCGATATGGTATTAGATATCAGCCAGTCAATGTACACTTTACATAGATTCCAGATTTTTTTCTTCTTTTTCTGAAGTCTCTTTTTTTTTTTTTTGGATGCCATATGAGGGGGATTCAAAGCAATGCAGCTAGTGAAGATTCATAAATATACATATTCAGACGTTTCTTTGAATGAAAATGCATACTTTGTCGTCATTTACGCGTGATACATTATTTTATACGTATATATTTACTCGTTTTTTTTTCATTTCACAATTACATGTTTTCGAGGTTTGTGGATTTCTCGTTCGGGTTCGCAGGTGCCGTTCACCTTCTGAAGAACATGGGGTTGCGCAGGCAGGCGGTTAGTCACCTGCAGCACCCCAGCGGTCCGGTGGAGGTCTCCAAGCTGCTGTCGGTATCGGAGGCCAGGGTCTGGTCGGTGGACATGGAGGAGATGTCGTTGACGGAGGAGGAAGGGGGGAGGCTCTCGCTGCTGTTCATGGCTGCACCTGCGCTAAGGGAAGTAACGGGGGAAAAACGGTTACAACGAAAAAAAGAAGCACAGCCACAGCGCCCTCTACAGGGCGAATAGATACTACAAGCAGATGTTCAAATATTAAAAAGTACAATAACGATACAAAATGTACAAATATCCCACAGGGACGAAAGCGGGTTGCTTAAGGGTGGAGTCCACGGACTGGGTTTGGATCTGAAGTGATATTGTAGGATGTTGAGATATTTATGATCTCTATGAAGAATTTCACCATAGCACAGAAACTGCACTTGTTAAAATTACAAATTACTTGCTTCTTGCGTCAGACCAAGGCTGTATCTCATTGCTAGTTTTACTTGATCTTAGTGCTGCGTTCGACACTATAGATCATGACATACTCATAGATCGATTACAAAACTATACAGGTATTCAAGGGCAGGCTTTAAGATGGTTTAGATCCTACCTGTCCGATCGCTACCATTTTGTTCATTTAAATGGGGAGTCATCTCAATTATCACCAGTAAAGTATGGAGTGCCACAAGGATCTGTCCTAGGTCCTCTGCTATTTTCGATATACATGTTGCCCCTTGGTAATATTATTAGAAAATACGGGATTAGTTTCCACTGTTATGCTGATGATACTCAACTAAATATCTCAACAAGACCAGATGGATGTGTAGATTTATATTTATTTAATATAATAAAAATACTTAATATTAAGATAAGATAGTATTTATACCATATATATAAACATTACATGATTATTTAAATAGACATTGAATAATAATAATAATAATAATAATAAATATATGAATTTACAAAAAAAATATAAATGAGTGTAAAGTATTGCCTTAGATTATACCTTACAAAAATCTTTTATATCTAATAATTATTTAATAATTTTACACAAATTTTACGTTAATATTATATTAGATATAATTAGATATTTAATACACTATATATATATATATATATATATATATATATATATATATATACAGTATTATCTTGAGAATATTTACTTTCTGTGTGTGTACTTTTCTTCTTCTTTTTTTTACATATAAACTTGAAAAGAATACCAGTACATTTAATCAGTACTTTTAAAAGTGTGTGTGCGCGTGTGTATGTGTTCTACATTTTATAATTATTTAATAATTTAGCATGAAATATTATAATAAATATAATTAGACATATATATATATGTTTTATTTCTTTATTTTAATTTCTGCTAGTTTGAAATCCTAAGTCTGGTAGCTTAGAAAAGTAATTGCAGACCATTCCTCAACAAGATATATGATTAAAGATATTAATTTATGCAGCTAAAGTTATGTTCACATTCCTAACACCATATGCATGAGCAAACCTCAATCATTCAAAACAAAACATGCCTTTTAAGGGGTCCTATTATGCTTTTTCAACTTTAGTTAGTCTGTAATGTTGCTGTTTGAGCATAAAAAATATCTGCAAAGTTACAAAGCTCAAAGTCCACTTCAAAAGGAGATATTTTATTTAACAGAAATCACTTTTCAAAAACTACAACGAACGACTCGTTTTGACTACAAAGCATATTTTCCGGGATTTGTGATATCACAAATACCGACGAATGGGACGAGACCTGGTTGAGCTGCACTAGAGAAGGCAACGAGTGTTATCACTATGTCGGAGCTTTCCCAAGGCAAACGAACTTAGAGTGGTTACAATCATCCGGATTTAAATCGCGCTCAAATTGATTTGATTTTGACGCAATATTTACACTGAAGCTCGCAGGCGGTTATGGTAAGGGGCGTGACATTTCCCGACCAGACGCCGAGTGCTGCCAATCACAATACACACTGGCCCAGCTAACCAATCACAGCACATTTCATATTTCAGAAGGCGGACCTTCATTTGATGCAGGAACTATTCGAGCCGTTCATGCCAGACTGAGGAGAGAGGTGTTGTAATAATGTAAATTATGTGAAAAATAATATGTTTTTCGAACAACCTAGTATGAGAGCCTGTTCTAGTACACCCCCAAAACAAAATCAAGACTTTGTAAAAGAGCATAATAGGACCCCTTTAAAAAACACAAAAACTAAGCATATTTTACACCACTAGGTGGAGCTAATGCTCTACATGAAGTAATACACAAAGGCTCCTGAAAAAAGGACAAATTGTCCCTATTTTTCATCATCAGGTTTGAGAGTTGCACTGACTGCCCTATAAATCCACAACCCAGAAAACCTCAAATCCTTCACCGAGTCTGTTTGAACAGAAGCCCTGCCCAATCCAATAACCCGCAAGGAGACCGCTTTTGATAAAAATCAAATGCAAATAACCCCTTAAATGGCTTCCTACGATAACAGAACAAGCTAATTTACTTGACTGACGGCCTACATCTTTCGCTTTAATAGAAGGCAGCTCTTTATTACCCATTCAATTCTGTGAACATGATTTACGTATAATAACTTTATAGTACACTCTGCCCACATCCTCATTTGAGATTAACATTTCAAACATGCAATTTTGGAGCGTGACTGCAGAGTGGGGCTAGAGCGAAAAAAATGACAATATGATAAATGATGAAAGCAGAAGCTACCCTTTAAAATGAGAAGACAAAATGAAGAGGGTGGGTGACATTGGCTCAGTAAGGGCTTTTTATCGCTGTCAGCTTTATGGCCACGATCTGTTTTAGTCTCTCTTTCTCTCTCTCTCTCTCTCTAGAAATGTGCCAGACCAGCAAAACATGATCACTAGTTGCACATCACATCACATTGAGAGTGTCAGTTACCTCACAGCACATAAGAATGGTAATATTTACACAAAAAAATCAGAATAGATTACAAAAACCTCTTTACATTGTCCAGAATTCAGTTTTCTGCTCACCAAGACTACATTTATTTGATCAAAAACACAGTAAAAACAGTAATATTGTGAAATAGTATTACAATTTAAAATATCTGTTTTGTATTTTAATATATTTTAAAATGTAATTTAAATAAATAATGTGATGCAAAGCTGAATTTTCAGATTCATTACTCTAGTCTTTAGTGTCACATGATTCTTCAGAATCATTCTAATATGCTTCTAACATTCTAATATCAGTAAATATCCTAATGGTTCAGAATTCTTAGTTAAAATATACAGTAAATATACTCCTAAACTAAATTTTAGACCAGGCCTACTACTACTACTACAAAAAAAATAAAAATAAGTTGGCCTAGTTATGTTGGCCTAAACTAGTTTGGTCTTTGCTGGTTTTAGAGAGGTTCTGGCAACTTTTCAGCTGGTCACATGGGAGACCAGCTTGGCCAGTACAAGAGATCATATTAAACCAGCTAAACCAGCTTAGACTGGATTTTTTTAGCAGGGAGTTTGGACTAACTTGAATTCCAAGATGGTCTATTCTATATTGATTTTCTGGGTCTCTAATGTCCGTTTCCTATGTTTCTATCTCAAAAACTCTGCCCTTCAGCTCCTCTTGTCAAATTGCCCTGGTTTTTCTTTACCCACAATTCCCCTCACAGTAAACAGCATCATGTATATCCCATACATGTGATTTCAGTGACCACTCGAGTGTAAAAATAGACTTTCAGCTACATCGCTCTTCTCTCACTTAACAGAATCCTCCAGTCATCCCCCACAAAGGACACCTCCAGCGTCCCAGAGACCTCCATAAATCTCCCGCCTAATACTGCAGGATGGAGCTTCCTACAGTGCAGCATCTCAGACTCCCAGATCCTTAATAAAACAGGAAGGGAACGAGGATTTATAGCCGGCATTGATTTTAACCCCAGTCCAGTTCTGCGGGTTTAACTAAACACACTGAATCATTGTTTAGTACGGGACGCCACATCAACAACCCCCACTGTTGGTGCAGGACATCTATAAACACCATCAAGCATGTTTATAGTCATGTGATCAATGTATGTTGAAAATAGCCTGCCATTTTTTTTTCTTCATATTTGCTCTGTAGCTGTCAGAAAAATACAAATGTAATACTTTTCATAAAACACACTCATTAAAGACTACAATTTGTAAAGCTGTTTTAAAATCATACATGTGCGTTTATGAAAAGCAAACTGAATTGAACTGAATGTGACGATTCAACACACTAACCCACACTGCTGTGAAATACGGAGCTGCATTGCGACTGCATTCTTCAGCACAAGCACTTAATTACAAAGTAGAGAGACCGACTGAGAGAGAGAGAGAGAGAGAGAGAGAGAGAGAGCAAGAGAGAAAGAGAAAATGAGGCCAGAAAAGGATGGACAACATGAGCAAAAAAAATAAAATTTAAAGGGGTCATTTAATGCGATTAAAATTTTTCCTTTCTCTTTGGAGTGTTACAAGCTCTTGGTGCATAAAGAAGATCTGTAAAGTTACAAAGACTAAAGTCTCAAATCCAAAGAGATATTTTTTATAAAAGTTAAGCCGGATCGGCTTTCACCGTGGACGAAGCGGAGTCCAGCCCGGGGTCGTCACGTGTGGTTGCCGCAAGCCCGCCGGCCGCTCCTTCATCGAATCCGCCGGCCGCGCCTTTCTCAAGCTCACTGGCCTCTGCTCACTCTAGCCCGCCGTGTGTTTCGTAAAACACACGAAATAAGCGAAACTACTTTGTTTGGCCTTCCAAAAGAGGACACGGCCAAAAATCAGTGGTTAAGTTGTATTTACAACACTGTTCCAGAACAGTTCAACCCAAGGCATCACAGTATGGTGAGGGGCGTAACATTTCCGTCACACACTTGAGGTATTCGGCCAATCACAACGCACTGGATAGTTGGTCAATCAGAGCACACCTCGCTTTTTAGACCGATGAGCTTTGTAAAAATCTACGCGTTTCAGAAAGGCGGGGCATAGAGGAGAAACAATAATGTACAGTATGTGGAAAATAATGTGTTTTTTTAACCTTAAACCGCATAAACACATTTCATTACACCAAATACACAAAATAATGTTCTTTTTAGCAACATCATATGACCCCTTTAAACACCCCAGCAATATATATATATATATATATATATATATATAAAAAACCTAAGCAGCTAGAAACCAATAGATCTTTCTTGACATCTTTAGATGTTAATAAGCTAATAAGACGACAACAAACATGAAGATCACCTTCTCAGTGCTGCTGGACTGCATACATGCAATCACACACACATGTGCTTCCCTCTACAGGTCAAACACACACACTGAAACTCAACATCCCACATCCCTCAAAGAAAAGCCTCTTCGCTGAGTCAATTAGCAAACAAAATCCTACAAATATTTCAGACTTGTCTGAGCTATTCTTTTTGTAAAATGATTAAATCAGACACCATGGACTCCAACCTTAATTATGAAACATGTATACATAAACAGTGGCAAATATACAATACATTATAAAAACACAAATACATTTTTAAACATTGACATGTCAGTTCCCAACATTTTAGTTATAAACTCAAGAATGAATGTGCATATTTATTTTTTATATACTATTACTTGGATGTTTTTACATTGCTGTAGAATTTATTTACATAATGAAAAAAAAACACACAACAAAATTCCCCTTCACTAAGCTCTGCCCCCTAGGTTATTCTGGCTAACTTTACAGAATGTAAAAATATATGCTGGTAAAAATTGGATAGATGTTATTTTTATGTGTGCTAAATTAAATTGTGACACTGCAAAGCAGTTTTATCTGGCATCTGTCTTAAAAAAATGTTGAATTACAGAGTAACACATTAAAAAGTGCAGAAACTTCCCAGAATAAACTGAATAAAATAAAATTAAATAATTTTAAAGTTATTACAGGTTTTCACACTGAATTTCATGAAAAATTATTTTACTATATTTGTTGGTTATTTTCATTAAAAATGTGGAAGAAAGAAAGAAAGGAGAAAAAAAACTATCCAAACTCCAAACAGATCTTCCACTGAATTACAATATAATATCTTGTTTGAGAAAATGATGGATGACAACAGCTGCTAAATAGGGTTGCTCATTAACATTTTTAAGGCAGGCCTTAGTGAAAGATCAATTATACTTCTCTAAGTGGAAAATAGGCTAAAATATACACAGTGTAATAAAGTAATTTTCCTAAAGATGCTGTAAGCGTGTATATACCACACATCCTCAATCTGACAAACTGAAAGAGTTCTCCTAATTCACAACCTCTTGGAGGGACCCAAATTTTTTCAGCCAATCAGAAACACTTTCTGCCTGTCAATCACTGTGCACTTTAGTTGGAATGTCTTTAGGGGCGGGGTTTTGCTTTGTAGCAGAAAGTATTGGGTGAAATCGCTTACGGCACCTTTTCTTATTTTCAGCAAAGACCACAACAGACACTAACATTGTCAATTACAGACTGAACAACTAGCACGTAATCACACTCAAGACGTGCTCTGTTTGAGTCACGCGGACGAGATGAGAGGGGGACAGGGACAAATGGAGCAGTCACAATGGGAGGGTTTCTCATAAACAGCTGAAATCACTTTAAATTGACTTACAGAAGCATAGCTTATGCACAGAGAGTACCTGAGGGAGAGGGCTGTCCCTTCACAACACCATTCTTTGTTCTCTCCTCGAAGTTCATCACCTCTTTATAGATGAGCTCTGAGCCAGAGAGACAGGGGGAGAAAAACAGACAGAAAGAGCACATTTACAGCTAATCAACTCAAACTACTTTAGGTTCATTAAAAACCAACAAAAACAAAATTAACAAATTACTAGTAGATTTTCATGATGGAAATTTTTTGTTTTGTTTTGTTTTTTTAATTAACCTTTTTTAATTCTAAAAATGTAAAATGTTTCTTTTCATTCAAGGGTTGTTAATTAAAGTCTGTTAATTGTATTTTATTAATAGCATTTTACTTCACTATGTCTTCCTTTAGGACACTTATTTACATCTAGATGCAAAAATATATCCTAATAAAAATGACAAGAGCATATAAAAAAGACTAAAACTTAAAATAAATTCAAATAAAAGCGAATTAATATAGTATTCCTATAGTACGTATATTTAAAAAAGTACTGTAATATTATATAAATAATACTAAAACAACACAAGGAAGACGAAATGTACTAAATCAAGTTCTATTTTAAAATGTAAACATGCAAAAAGATTTATTTGAGGGCTAGTTTTAGCATCTGAGGATAGAAACTAGCAGGATCTCAGTATAAATAGTCTTGTATCTCAGTAACAACAGAAGTCAATGGAAAGTGGCCACCATGATAGAAAAACAGCCGTGTGCGTGAATGATTTACAGCTTCATCTCTTCATGTGTCTGTGGGCTGTGAGTTATGTCATGTCCACAAGCAGAGAGCTCCAAACGAAGGCCTACCTTTCCATTCATCAATCGAGTGTTCCCTCTCATCTAGCTGTTTATCATAGATCTGTGGAGGAGGCTGAGACAGAGAGAGAGAGACATATTTAATCATTACCCAACAAAATCATCAACACTGAGCGTCTTCTGGATAAACATGTCTTAAACGTATCATTGCTGGTCCTTAATCATAAATACAATCCTCTTACTATTAAAAATGCATGCTTTATTATGGAAGCCTGTTTCCACTACTGAATTAAAAAAATTGTGACTTTTATCTCACAATTCAGAACTTTTTTCTCTCAGAAATGCAAAATAAAACCTTGCAATTCAAAAAAATCAAAAATCAATTTTGAAATATGTGACCCTGGAGCACAAAACCAGTCTTAAGTTGCATGGGTATGTTTGTAGCAATAGCCAAAAATACATTGTATGGGTCAAAATTATCGATTTTTCTTTTATGCCAAAAATCATTAGAATATTAAGTAAAGACCATGTTCCATGAAGATATTTTGTACATTTCCTACCATAAATATATCAAAACTTAATTTTTGATTAGTAATATGTATTGCTAAGAACTTAATTTGGACAACTTTAAAGGCGATTTTCTCAATATTTAGATTTTTTTGCACCCTCAGATTCCAGATTTTCAAATAGTTGTATCTCGACCAAATATTGTCCTATCCTAACAAACCCTACATCAATGGAAAGCTTGATGTATAAATCTCAATTTTGAAAAAATGACACTTATGACTGGTTTTGTGGTCCATGGTCACATAGAAACTTGCAGTTCTAAGAAGTCAGAATTGCAAGATTTAAACTCAGAATTCAGCTTTTATATCACAATTCTAACTTTCCACCTCGGAATTCTCGGAATTCAGTGTTTTTTTGTTTCCGCCATGGAATAAAAAAATAAAATAAAAACCGTAATTGTGACATTTTATCTGCCAATTCTGCCTTTTTCTTGGAATTCTATCTTGTAATTCTTTTTTCCTCAGAATTGCGAGAAAAGGAGCCAGAATTGTGAGATATAAACTAAGAATTGCAAGGGAAGAAAGATTCGAAAGATTAAAAAAATTGCAATGACCTTTTTAATCATGGTCACATAGAAACTTGCAGTTCTAAGAAGTCAGAATTGCAAGATTTAAACTCAGAATTCAGCTTTTATATCACAATTCTAACTTTCCACCTCGGAATTCTCGGAATTCAGTGTTTTTTTGTTTCCGCCATGGAATAAAAAAATAAAATAAAAACCGTAATTGTGACATTTTATCTGCCAATTCTGCCTTTTTCTTGGAATTCTATCTTGTAATTCTTTTTTCCTCAGAATTGCGAGAAAAGGAGCCAGAATCGTGAGATATAAACTAAGAATTGCAAGGGAAGAAAGATTCGAAAGATTAAAAAAATTGCAATGACCTTTTTAATGTTTATTCCATGGTGGAAACGGGCTTCCATACTACTATAGTATATGCAGTTATACTTCAAATGTCTAAATATAGTCACTTATTTGATGCAATGCTTTTCATCTAGCATAAACCATGATCAGAACACAGCACTACATACAGTATGTATGACTTGTAATGTTAAAATATCTGGGTTATTATGTTACATTACAGTGTTCATTCATATTACAATATGAGTAAATTGCACTTTAACACTCATTTTCATAACTAATAATATTTTTTATGTAATATAACATTAACACGGTAATGTAAAGCGTTACTGCCACTTGCACATGCAGTTGACATGTTCAACAGTAAGAGCTTAGTAAATAAGGACCAAACACCACCATTAGTAAGACAGAAAAGCAGAGAAAATGCCACCGTTAGGTTTCAGATTAAGACAGAGACATGAGAAACACAGGCTGTGTCTCAGAACCTAGCGAGCAGCCTAACTAGACTGCATTTTTGGGCATCATGGCCACAATCAAATCAAACCTCGGCAGCATTTCAAATGTTCAAACTGAACACTGGCAGCATTTTGTGCTTGATTCGAATGTTGCTGCCAAAAATATTGTCTATATATGCAGCTCACTAGGTTTTGTAACAAGCCAGAGAGAATAAGAGGAAGTGACATAAACAGAAAGAAAGATTACATGGCACTGAATGGAGTATTATGGAAACTAGGGTTCCTTAACGCTCAATGAATCTGCAAGATTCATTTGAAGCATATTAGTTGAGTTCACAAAGCACACAGGTGAGTTATTTTGACTGCCTTTTCCACTGAGTAAATCTATCTAAAAGTGAATTTTGTTAACTAAGTAATGTCATAATATTATACATCATCATAAAAATCAATAATTTAGGGTTTGATTTGAGCTCCCATTTGCTTAATTAAATTCATTTCAAACTAAAACCACCAACCAGACATTGTTGGAATTCAAGGTTTTAGGGTGCCTTAAACTTTAAACCTCCTCTGAATTCTATTCTATTCTATTCTGTTCTGTTCTATTCGATTGCCTCTAAATGTTACTTGAATACAGAATTGAATCGTATCATTCCTTTCATACGTTCTACAAGATTAGTACACAATACCAACACACACACACACACACACACACACACACAAATACACACACTGTGCACATTTCAGGGAAATCTTTGTCTGTTTTTGAGTTCTAGACGTCAGTGCGTGTTACAAAGAGATCAGTGTGTGAGTGATTTGAGATGAGGAGGTTTCCTAAGTGTGGAATGGTCTTTATTTACCATAGATATCTGCTGATTCCTGGCCTTCATCAGAGAAAGAGAAACACCAGAGAGAAGGAGAAAAGAATCACACTAATCATAACGATGCTCATGGGTTATTAAAACAAACTATTTGCTATTGATTTTCTATCAGATTAGTATTTTCGTTTCATATTTGGGTCAACAGAAAAGTGTATGTTCACATAAAATGACAACAGCTATGTACATATTTACAGACAATACATGTGAGCTGGTTATTTTGTTACATGTTTTTCTCTGTAGTTCGGTACTTGGTGTTCTGTACTTTCTAGAACAAGAAAAGCAGACCCGTTGCATCCTTGAAACCCCTTTGAAACATTACAGACACAAACTTTAGACAAGAACAAGCTGTTTGTCAAAAGGGGACGTGTGAATAGAAGCCGAGGCAAATGCTTATTGAATGTTTAGAAATCTTCATCAAAGAACAGGACAACTTTCTGTTATTTTTACTCCTTTCTAGTGTCCTCTCAAACTGATGAAGGTCCCCAGAATCAACCATAAACATTTACAAGCTGCACAAATGCAACATAAACCCTGATAATGATTTAAAACTATTGAGTATGGATCTATTAGATCCATATAATATAATATAATATAATAATAAATTGCATCTAAGCATCCAAGTCTGATAATAAATATTAGTCATTATTTGAATAAAATTACTAAAATAGTTTCAGACTGAATTAATATTTCACCACACAAAAACCTTTAAAAAAAGTTATTAGTAAAATTAGGTAAATATATTCAATTTAAAATTTTATATATTAAATAAAAAAAAATTAAAAAACTGGCAAATTGTTAGATATTTCAGACTTCAAATGCATCCAGTTAAAAAAATGATTGTATTGGTATAACCTAATGTGGTGAGTTTAATTTACAATATTCTATAAATAATAAACAATACAAAATTTGTATTGTGTAAATTAAATACAAATACATATTTTGATCTGAATAAATGTAGGAAAAAAACAAAACATTGAGACTTGGTGGAAGTGCATGCAATTTTTTTAAATAATAATTTTATTGGTATAACCTGATGTGGTGAGTTTAATTCACAATCTTTTATAAATCATAAACAATACAAAATTTATATTGTGTAAATTTAAAAAAAATATATATTTTTTGTGATCTGAATAAAGATAGGGAAAAACAAAACATTGAGACTTGGTGGAAGTGCACGCAATTTAAAAAAAATATTTTATTGGTATAACCTGATGTGGTGAGTTTAATTCACAATCTTTTATAAATCATAAACAATACAAAATTTATATTGTGTAAATTTAAAAAAAATATATATTTTTTGTGATCTGAATAAAGATAGGGAAAAACAAAACATTGAGACTTGGTGGAAGTGCACGCAATTTAAAAAAAATATTTTATTGGTATAACCTGATGTGGTGAGTTTAATTCACAATCTTTTATAAAACATAAACAATACAAAATTTATATTGTGTAAATTTAAAAAAAATATTTTATTGGTATAACCTGATGTGGTGAGTTTAATTCACAATCTTTTATAAAACATAAACAATACAAAATTTATATTGTGTAAATTAAACAAAAAAAATATTTTGATCTGAGTAAATATAGGGAAAACAAAACATTGAGACTTGGTGGAAGTGCATGCAATTTAAAAAAAATAATTGTATTTGGTATAACCTAATGTGGTGAGTTTAATTCACAATATTCTATAAATAATAAACAATACAAAATGGGTATTGTGTAAATAAAAAAAAAATGATTATTTTGATCTGAATAAATATAGGGGGGAAAAAATTGAGATTTGGTATACATGCATGCAATTAAAAAAAAATTGGTGTAACCTAATGTGATTTAATACATAATATTTTATGAATAATAAAATGTATTATTATTTAATAAACGTGTAAATTAAAAGAAATACAAACAAACAAGCAAACAAAAATGCATTTTATATTTTTATTTATTTAATATTAAATTCAACCTAAATTTAACAAATTAAACAAAAATGTTTCATTTGGAAATATTTCCATGCATTTTCTTTGCCCTGAAAATTCAGACTTGGTGTGAACAAGCCTTACATCTGCAATATGTCATATCGATTGGTAGTCATTTATAGTGCTGTGCATTGCATAAGAATTTTTTTTCCTCGCACATGTTCAATCAGTTGTGAGTGATGGAGGATATCATGAGGCTACATAAAAGACATGCGGTGGCCAGTCTGTAAACACAGCTGAGAGTGACAGATACTCACTGCCTCCACCTCGGCCGGGTCGTACCACACGTTGATGTAGGGGTGCTGCAGGGCCTCGTCCACTGAGATCCGCTTAGCGGGATCAATGATCAGCATCTTAGACAGCAGGTCTCTGGCCTGACTAGCTGTAAAACACATCACAACAGACCAGACCTTAGGAACGTTTACATCAGCTAAATGGAGGCATTTTACACAATTGTACCATTTTTATAAAGGCTACTTAAAATGATTATAATTATTAAAAGTTATTTTCAATTATTATAAAATAATACAATAATTATTATAAAGTAATTATAAAATTATTTTCAAATGACTCAACTCCAATTTTTGCATGTTAGAATATATATATAAAATATTTAGTCAAATTTTATTTAAAAGGAGACTCTTGTGCTCACCAAGGCTGCATTTATTTAATCAAAAACTAAAATTGTGAAATATTATTAGCATTTAAAAGAACATTGTTCTTTTTGAATATATCTTAAATTGTAATTTATTCCTTAATTTAGTCTTCAGTGTCACATGATCCTTCGGAAATCATTCGAATATGCTGATTTTCTAATTATTATCAATGTTGAAAACAGTTTTTGCAAATGCAGACTTTGTAAGCATATACTGTATCTTACATATATTTTTATTGGAACAGAATTAGAGCATTTAGAGCATGGGACATTTGTTAAGGAAGCAAACAGAATTATTGTTGATTTCAGATGTTTGAAGAATTCAGTGCAAACATCTCACAATCTTCACATTCAATCTCTCTATTTCTCTTTGCAAGGGCACTGAAAACATCCCACTCGTCTTTCCTCTCCACCTCTGTACGCTCTCTGAGTCCCTCACTTTCTTGCTCTATAAATAGCCGGGGAAAGTCAGGCTCTTTCTCTCTCTCCTCTTACAGCATCATCCCATCTCTCCCTTCTCTCTGCCACTCGACCGCTTCAAAATGGCCGACACTGATTTCTGCAGATCTGTAAATCTGACTCGCTCCCCCTCTCTGACTTTCAATATCAATTTGTCATGTGAACGTGTTTGATAAACATAACAGAAACTGTACATTTATATTGGCTAAGTCCTTGTAGACTAAGTAAAATTGCTGATCACAAATAGCCAAAAAAGTTCAAATGTACAAAAATAAAATGACAAAATGACATGAAATAAAAAGACAAATAAATAAAATAACAATATATTAGAATAGATTTGATAAAATAAAATGGACCTGAAACACAAAACGAAATCAACTGAATCACATAAAATGAAATAAAATGGAAAAAAAATTAAACGGAAAAGCACCAAAATAAAATTAAATTAAATTACGCCAAATAGAATTACATAAATAAAATAAAATGACAAAAATAAATAATAAAATCAAAGCGAAATGCAACCCGACATCACAAATCGTCAAAAATTTAAATCGCAAATTTAAATTAAAATGCAGAAATTAAATCTAATAAAAATACATTAAATTACAAAATGAAAAATGAAATCAAATTAAATGGTAAAATAAAACAAATTCAAACTGATATCATAGATAGATAGATATATAGATAGATAGATAGATAGATAGATAGATAGATAGATAGATAGATAGATAGATAGATAGATAGATAGATAGATAGATAGATAGATAGATAGATAGATAGATAGATAGATAGATAGTTGAATCAGCAAGTCATCAAAAGTGTGCAGTGCAGTGGTGCACAAGGTCTGGAACTGAGAACTCCTCCAGCACACTCTGCTGTACCTGATGGCAGGGTCCAGCTTATGATGCATTATATCTCACCCAGCCAATTTACAGTCACACCGACAGCACAGAGTCTAATCAGAACTGCCTTATATCCCTTTTTGTTTCCCAAACTGTAGAACATTCAGCATCTGCCTGTGATGTCTGTTCACTGAGAATAACTCCACCACGCAATTTTCATATCAAAAGCTCATGATTCTCCTCCGCCTTTCCCCTGAAGAACAACTACAGCTTTGAGCACAATTTATGAAATGTCTCTCAATTTCGCAAATGGGAAGGAAATTGCTGCCTGATTCATGCGGACAAACCAGGAAAATAACAAAGAGATGAATCAAACTGAAGTTATTAGTGTTCACCTCATTTGATAATTTTTTTTAAATGATCCTAGCAGTATTTTAGAGTTAATTTCACAAGGAAATGGCTTTTAATTGTACTCTATAATTAAAATAAAAAAAAAATTCCACATTAAAATATCTTTTTAATATTACAGTAGGTTACTAAGAATGAAGGGAATTCTAATGATCATCAAAATAAGTCTTTACACAAAATATATTAGCATGTAAAAAAGTTACAATGTCTTAATACATTACATTTATATTTATTTATATTATATTAGAATATTTATTTATTTAAATTTGTATTTTTTTAATTAAAGCCTCGCACACACCGGGACGATTATCGCACGCTTATCGCCGACGTTTTTCGACGCGTCTTTTGTGTTCATACCCAAGTGATTTTCGCTGGCGATGAGCCGAGTGAACGTGCAAATTCACTCCCTGACATTAGATGGCGCTTAATGAAAAACAGAAATACCCCGGTACACATCGAATCCTATTTGATCTGCAATTCCTGTCCATAACAACCCCCTATTATCGAGATTTTTGTAGTTGCTGTCGCGTTTTGTGCTTGAGCGGCACCAAGTCGTGTTTTACTGTAACTTCAGCAGCTCCAGGCACGTGAACAAAAGCGCCAATCTCATTGGTTGGCCAGTTTTTTATGCGGCGCTTCAAACCAAAAAAAACGAGCCCGAGGTGTTTTTAAAAACAAAAAAAACTCACATTGGCGCCCATTGTTTAGTCACGAGGCGTTAAACGTTGGCGATAATCGCGCGCGATATTCGTCCCGGTGTGAACAAGCCTTAAGAATAGAGGAAATCTAATGGTCATAAAAATAGGCCTCATTATATTAACATTAAAACATTATTTCATATAAAAATGATTTATACAAAAATTATATATTTATTTACATTTTATTTCTATTTTTTTCTATTTTTTATTTTTGGTCATAAATTGGTCATAAAATTAGGCTTTGTTTTCTTTACACAAAATATATAAAAAGTATGTATGTGTGTATGTATTTATTTACATACATCATTTTTATTTTATTTTTTATTTTATTTTACTTTACTTTACTTTACTTTACATGACCAGAACTTTTTTTAAAGAGTTTTGCATGAGATTCAACCTCAAACTCAAGCTACAAACACACACAATACTGTGACAGTACTTGACAATTGTTTGTACGCCAAATAACACGCTTACAACTAAATGTGCGCAAACTCTGGCTTACCTTTGAGCTTGTTGTGCTCCGAGTCTGCAGGGAAGAGGCAATCAGGGAAGAGTTTGGGGAAGGTCAGGCCGGCGTATTTTGGCCTGTTCTCCACATAGTTACGCACCGTCGGCTGCAGTTTCTTCATGAACTCAGGAGAGGGCGTGCCGAGCTGCTCTATAACCTTATTCCATTGGTCGATGTCTGAACGTGGGTGGAGTCATGGAAAAAACACCTACGTACGGCCCTCAGGCTGACTGTTTATGCAATATACAAAGTATGATATTTCACTTTTTTCACAAATGGAGTATAAAATGAAGATAACGACATAATGTGGTTATTCTAACATTATTACATAAGACAAACATAAAAGCAAGTGCTGTGAGCCTAGAAATGCCATCGGTAATGAAATAAAGTTTGATTAAACTTCCACTCCAGGACAATTAAAGCTAAATCAGTAAAGGTTGAAACACTCGGAAGGGTACTAATAAGGCCCGAAGTGGGAAAAAGCCTGAATTTGTTGTCTAAGTAAACAAAAAGAAACCAAATCAGTACATAAGATAATGATATCGATGATACTTGAGTTAAACCAACAGCTGAGTCATTACAATCAAGACAATCCCAATTTTACTTCCCATTAGACTCCATAAGATCCAATATTACCCAGTTTTACAATGCTCATTTTCATTATGTGTTTGCATTCTGGGATAAGACTATCACTGAAATTTTGTAAGAGTTCATTTTGGAGGTAAAAATAGCATAAAGCACAAAAAAAACACACACAATAAGATGGAAGCAAGACTGATCTAAATAGTTTCAGGAAACTAACTTTTACATTTAGAGCCACTATTCGCCCATGGGGTATTAAATATGCTATTTCTGATAGCATATTTTTTGTGTGTCATACTGTGTCATCATTTCATGTCAAATACTTTAATATAATCCATTCATTAACACAAACTCTCAATAATTAGAGTGAAAACGTATTACCTTTTATCCATAAGATTAAAGCAACAAAAACAGGAACTCTTTACCCCAACATTTTGACACTTGGTGTCATTTTTTGTCAATTTTGGTGGTATTTTTTGCCATACTGTACGTCCCTGTACATTTCTGATCCTGATTTGGATTGGTCCAGATTGTTGTAAAACATAATATCCAAGCAACTGTACATCATAAACAAAGAGCTTCACATGTGCTTTTATGTATAAGAGGCACTGGCTCACGGATCTCAAGTTATTTAAGTCCATGCTAGTATTTTTGTAATAATTCACATGCATTCTTAATTGGCTATTGCGGCAAACAAACAACCTAGCAAAACAAACACTGCTTCCTCATTCAAACAAACAATTACCAGACTCTAGACAGTGTAAACAAGATCAGATATGGACATACAGATGACTGACCATGCTTTGATACATTTATAATCGCATGCTTGAGGTGTGAGCATTTGCTGAGTCTGCCACCACATAATGGCCCACACAATCCATTACAATCAGACTGCCTGACTAAATATTATGAGTGATAAATAAATACATTTAAATGTTAAATATATGAATTATTTATTTTTATTACACTACTGGTCAAAAGTTTGGAATATTTCAGATTTATAACTATAATTAAGATTAAGGCTCTGTGGTGTAAGATTTCATTTTTTTTTGTTGAAATTAAGTCTCTTATGCTCACCAAGGCTGCATTTATTTGAACAAAAATACAGTACAATTTAAAAGAACATTGTTCTATTTGAAGATATTTTAAATGTAATTTATTCCTGTGATCAAAGCTGAATTTTCAGCATCATTACTCCAGTCTTCAGTGTCACATGATCCTTCAGAAATCATTCTAATATGCTGATTTGCTGCTCAGTTATTATTTGTTCCATTCATTAATAAAGGTTCTTATTATTAGCAATGTTGAAAGCAGTTTTTGCTGCTTAATACATTTGTGGAAACCGTAATTCCTGAATTTTCCCTCAAGATTCTTTGATGAACAGCATTTAGAATAGAAACAGAAATGCTGTAACTTTATAAATGTTCTACAATTTAATTGAATGTACAATTTACTGTCACTTTTGATTATTTGAATGAGTCTATACTGAAAAACAACTCCCATACCCCAAAACTATTTTCAATATTGATAATAATAATACATTCTTGAACAGCAAATCAGCATTTTAGAATGATTTCCGAAAGATCGTGTGACACTGAAAACTGGAGTAATGATGAATAAATTACAGAAAACTGTTCTTTCACAGTTCTGTAATAATATTTCACAATATTACTGTTTTTACCGTATTGTCATTACATAAATGCAGAATGGTGAGCATAAGAGACTTCTTTCAAAAACATTAAAGTATCTTCGGCGGTATAGTGTATATAAAAACTGAACAAGTCTGTTATTCACCAGATCAAACAAGTCTTAATAAATCTGAACTGCATCTCTGTTATGAAATGACATTTCTCTCAGCGATCTCCTCATTGGTGTCATTATCACAGAAGTGTAGCGGTGGGAAATGAGGGCAGCTAGAGCAGGAGCAGGAATAGAGAGCGAGAGAGAGACTGCTGGCATTCAGCGCTCTTGATTATTGGTGTTTAAGGGAATGGTTTACAGGCATATAGGTCTGAGCTGGCCGGAGTGAATGGATCCTGAAGACATTTCAATGGGTGCCTAGCAACAGAGGGGGAAATGGATGTTGTCATGGTAGCCCAGTTGGCCCTGGGAAGTTACATGACTGCATTTGCTCCCCAGGCTTCCCATGATTCCCACAAAGGGGGGTTCTGGTTCAAACGGCCGGGGGGCAGCCAAGACCACATTACATCATCCTGCTGGAACGGCCCATCGCCTCCTACCCAAAACACAAAGCCTGGCCCGTATCTCTCTCCCTCTTATCTCATCACACGTCTGAGGAAGCTTCACTAAAGAAACAGCTGCCCGGCGGCTTTCATTCTACAAATACCTTCCAAAATCAGGTTAAATGGTGAGTGTAATAAAAAACAGGTTTGCTTCTATCAGATTCCTGTGTTGGAGGAGTTTTCAAGAATTTTATAATATTTGCTATTGTGTATATACTGTATGTGTGTGTGTGTGTGTGAAAATTATTTTATTATTTTATTCACTAATTATTATTATTATTCATTAAGGATTCATTTGACTGATCAAAAGTGACAGCTGTGGAATTTATAATATTAAAAAGTCTATTTTAAACAAATGCTGATCTTCTGAATCTTTATGTCTGTGTGTATATATACACATTCATACATACATACATATATAACATTTTTAATGTCGCATTTAACAAGCAAAATAAGATTTTTATTTCAAATTAATACTGTTCTTCTGACCTTTCAATCCATCAAAGAAACCTAAAAGAATTCTTAAGATTTCCAAAATTCGCCTTTGCTATCACAGGAATAAATTACATTTTTACAATATATTAAAATATAAAACAATTATATTTGTAATTATATTTTAATATAAAATATATATAAATAATAAAAAAGAATATAACATTTTTTTTACTTAGTTTTTACTGTATTTTTTATCAAATAATTCAGCATAAGATACAATATAGGCCTACATAAGATACAAACACATACAAAAAAATCTTACCGGACCAAAACTTTTGAACAATCGTGTATATAAATATAAAATATTAGGTCATATTTGGCAAGTAAAATATGAATGGAGACAGCAGTGAGGATTGGAGAACAGACAGACGGGAAGGATACGATCTGTCCCTGGAAACAGCACTGTTCCTCTTATAACTTCCCCAAAGATACAGCCTACAGACCACATGTCCACTACAGCACACACAACATGCATGCAACACACAAACAGACACTTAATAAAGGCCTACCACATAAAATCACACATGCACTGTATATTTCAATATAATAACCGGATTTACAACACTACATAAGCAACTCAGATGCTTGATTCAATGAATTCCAATGGAGTTTCTCATTAGCATGTTGCTAAGCTAACTGCTTGGATTCAATGTTTTCACAAACATGGCTGCAGTGCATACATCCTTTGCATACATACAAACCTGCCACTGAAATTTGCAAAAAGAAGGTATATTATAAGAAAGATGTTTTGCTGTCTACATTTCAGAACAACCTTTCACATATATGCTATAAAACGCTATCTAGTCATATAGCTAAACAGATTTATAAAGAGTACTGACTGAGAATAGTCAAAGTGACATCAATGACTCTCATTTCTTTCAAAATCTCAGTTATGAACTCACTCTGGCAGAGAGAGATAATGCAATCCTATATTCAAGTATTAAGTATTCTAATGTATTATTAAACAACGAGATTAGAGCCGTCTATGTTAACAATCTAAAAGAGGTTAACAGAATGTGATAGAGAAAAAAAATCAAGGGCAAATTTTTGCCAAAGCCAAAAACGTATGTGCATATCAGGTGCAAAATTAAATGCAACCAAAGTGAAGATGTTAAATACGGTTACACTTTATTTGAAGGTGTCCTTGTTACAGTGTAATTATACATTTAAGTACTGAGTGATATTAATTAACTACATGTACTTACTTTATGGTTAGGGTTAGTTGCATGTAATTATGCATAATTAATTGTTATAATAATAGTAAATACATGTAACATGTGTAACAAGGACACCTTAAAATAAAGTGTTACCTTAAAATTAGGGATGCTATCGGTATCGGTATCGGGCCCGATACTGAGCTCTTGTACTCGTACTCGTTAAAATGCCCCGATACCAAACGCCGATACCACACCGCATGTGATAAGTGCCATATTCAGACAAAGAAACACAGACAACAGAACAACAGACAGCAGAATGGAGTTATTAGAGATTAAGGATGTCTACGAAGTATATGTATGCAATGAATATAATGTTAAACATTCAGTATTAACGCCTGTATAGCTGATGTGCGCGAGCTGAAATTTACAAATGTAATAAAAATATTGGTATCGGTCCTCGGTATCGGCAAGTACCAAAAATAAAATTATCGGTATCGGGCGAGTACTGGAAAAAGTGGTATCGGTGCATCCCTACTTAAAATATAGTGTTTCAGGCTTTGGTAAAGCACACCCTGTAGATTCTGACGATGTAAGAGGTATCGAAGAAACAGCAAAGCAAAGAAGTTCACTCAGGCATGTGTTAATGAGTTTTTAAAAAGACTCAAATAAGCCAAGCTTGGCCTACAGGATCGATACCTTAATTGCAGTTTGGAGAGCTGAAAACAAGCACTGCTCTTCTACTAACTCTCTAGGATTCAACTGAAAACAGCAACCGAAAACAAAATCGCTAAATAAATGAATAAAGTTCAACCTAATGAGTGACTGGAGAGGGAGACTGTATCATTATTTCACTAGTTCCACTGTCTCTAAATGCCAATTAAGCAAAAACTGCTTCCCATTAAGGGATGAATAACTACAGTGTGCTGAGGAGAGGTGCAAGGCCGACACATCCGACTCAAAAACACATCAGACAGTGATCCCACAGCATCCTAAAGAACAGAATCTTCAATATTCATAGAGGACTGAAGGGAATGAGGGGAAAGAGCGAGTGTTATAATGTGAGAAAAAGAGATTAAACAGCATATGGATCTTGAAGCTATACACCTACAATACGAAAACATGAGCAAAACCTGCAGGTTAGGAGAATTACAGTAGTCGATTAGTTATGCCTGGACAGATGAACACTGGTCTAGTCAGGTGGATGTGGACCACAAAATCATAAAAAAAATAAAAATAAAATAGTACTCATAAAATGACATTATATATACATATTAGTGCTGTCAAACGATTAATCGTGATTAATTGCATCCAAAATAAAAGTTTTGGTTTATATAATATATGTATGTGTACTGTGTATATTTATTTTGCATATAAAATACACACACATGCATGTATATATTTCAGAAAAAATATTTTTATATATTAAATATATTTATTTATAATATAAATTATAAGAATATATATATAGACATGTAAATACATGTAAATATTATCAAAATATATACTGTGTGTATGTGTGTGTATTTATATATCCATAATAAATATACACAGAACACACACATATATTACGCAAACAAAAACTTTTATTTTGGATGTGATTAATCACGATTAATCGTTTGACAGCACGATTATAATATATATATATAATATATATAGAACAAACACATATATATATATATATATATATAATCGTTTGACAGCACGATTATAATATATATATATAATATATATAGCACAAACATATATATATATATATATATATATATATATATATATATATTAGTATTATATTATAATGTATATGCTAAATATTATTATTATTATATATTGATTGCGCATCACTAAAAAGTATAAGAATAAGTTTCAATTAAATACAATTAAACAAAAAAAACGTACTGTTTTGAGTGGACTGAAAAAACGATCTGTCTTTCAGTCTATTTTGAGACTAAAATATAACACTATGCAGTTTATGTAGTATTAAGAATTATACAGATTTATTCTGCTTGATAAAACTGTAGATCCATTCATGAAGGATACAATCCCTGCCGGGGAATAGGATTTTGTGGCGCACCATTTCTCCCATGATGCAACCAACTGACCAAATATCCACTGCAGGCACAGAAGCGAGAAATAGAGAGCGAAGGAAAAAAAGAGAGGTTAGTGTTTGCACAAACCGTCATGAGTGATGGCGAGAGAAAGAACTACGTGAGCTGCATCATGCTATGGCTAATTATATCTACGGTATCTGAACGATTATTCCACAACTGCTCAGATCAAAGTTCGAGCTGGGGACAGACCTCAGGGAGGACCATTTGAGGAAGGAAATCCATAGCCTGACCTCTCTGCTTCCCCCATACTCTAAATATACGTACACACTAATATTTTGGTCCTTAGGGTATTAATGTGTTATTTGAGTTTTCAAGCAGTGAAATCTGTTAGTGTTTCAGAAAATTAACAGTAGGTTAGCAAGAAATCTAAGTACTGAACTAATTTTCCCAAACTCAAATCTAAAAACAACATTAACTTTTATCCAAATAGTCCGCTCATTTTAACACATTTGTAGCATCACCTATACATAAATGCTGTCATTTAACACAATTTCCCTTCCTGTATTTCTGCATATGCAGGACACAGGACCAGGGCCGTCCTTAGCTGACGCGGGGCCCGGTGCGAGGTAGGGAGCGGGGCCCCCCTCGGTCCATTCGCAATCGAGTTCCCGGTGGGGGGCCATTCGCTGCGGGGCCCGGTGCGACCGCACCAGTTGCACCCCCCTAAGGACGGCCCTGCACATGACTTCTGTTTTTAAATAGCAAAAAAAAAAAAAGTGTTATAGCTGCAAAACCACAGCCAAACAATGTTCAGAATAGCATACTACTCGTACTCGTTTCTGAAGTATATTATATGTGTACTATGAGTAGTACACATGTAAATAACGACCAACTATATATTTCTAGACTTATTATTATACTGTTCTGTCAAAATGTAAAACATTTTTACATAAAATAACCAAATTTAATATCAAAACGAAAACTCGCTGAATTAACTATGCAATGTAGTAAGGTCATGTGACCACAATATAACATGCTACCGGTTGAAATTTTACTTGTTGCATAAGCTGCACTTACCAAATAAAATACTAAAATAATTTGTAGACATAGACTAAAAGCCACAGAACTCCAATTTTGATGTCACCGGGTCTATAAAACCCACAATTTTGAATATAGTCTTATATAGTTAGTATAATATAGTTCACGTTTAAAGTTTTGGTAATTTAGCATGTGTATATAGTAGCCTATGCGTATTGCGTACTATGATTACTATGCAGATTTTAACCAACTACATCTCTTTCTTGACTCACTTGAATAATTTGATCAAAAATTGGCTTAAAAATGCAAAATAACCATATTTAATTGCAAAATAAAAATGTACTGAATTAAATATGCAATGTAGTAAGGTCATGTGACCACAATATAACATGCTACCAGTTGAAATCTTACTTGTTGCATAAACATACTATGGCACATACCTACTAAAATACTAAAATAGTGTGTAGACATAGACTAAAAGCCACAGAACTCCAATCTTTTATGTCAAACCCCAAATTTTGAATATAGGCTTATACAGTTATTAAAATATAGTTCAATAAGAAATTTGGTAATTTCTGAAGTATATAGCATGTGTACTATGATAGAAATCGGCTACATCAACTACATCTCTATCTTGACTCATTTGAATAATTCTGTCAAACATTTTTACCCAGAATTTGATTAAAATGCAAAATAACCATTTTTACTTGCAAAATGAAAATGCATCGAATTAAATATACAATGTAGTAAGGTCATGTGACCACAATATATGATGCATTCAAGACATCCCGGAAAGATCGTATGTAGGAGTTGAATGCACATAAATGCCACCACAATTTTTTTTAAAATATTGAATTCTGCAAATTGTAGAAGTAGAGTTAAGAAATCTTGCAGAATTTTTTGGTAGAAATGGTACAGTACATTGCCATCTTGATCTGACCAAAGTGACTTGAACGCAACTTACATCGTAATTACGACTTCCCTAATTGTAAATAAAAACTTCCCAGGAGGACTTGATCCCACCAATAGCATAAAACATACTGCTTTACATACTAAATACTAAAATATCTGGACACAAAACTCCACTTTTGCTTTCACAGGGTCTATAAAACCCAAGATTACAGTGTTATTTAAAAATGTTGGTCGATCTGCATGCAGCCCTGTGATTGGTTTACCGTTCTCCTTGTAGCCCATGCCCAGGATGACCTCCGGGGCCCTGTAGTACCGCGTCACCACGTAGGGCGTCATCATAAAGCTAGTGCCAGCGGTTCTCGCCAAGCCAAAGTCCAAGATCTTCAGGGTACAGTCGGATTTCACCACAATATTGCTAGGTTTCAGATCCTTAAAGGACAATATGGGTCATGGTGAGATGACGATAAGAGCTTTGGTAAGAGTTCAGATTTGATTGACTATTTAAATTAACAAAATAGACCTTCCAACTTAAATTGATCCTGCTGTGTGTATTCATGTTTCTCACCCTGTGGATGATGCCGGCTGAGTGCAGGTGTTTGATTCCACATAACATCTGGTACAGCAGGTAGGACATCCTCTCGTGGTCCAGTTCCATCTGAATCACCTGGCAAAGGTTTGCATCCATCAGCTCCATGACCAGGTAACTAGAGAAGAGAGAAAAGGTGAATTTTACAGGTCGGACTTTCACAGCTGCAGTGACTGTCCCTGTGGTTCTGTCATATTACATTGGCATGGCTTCATTCATTCTTCCTTATTGCACAAAAGAGACCGCTGTGGATCGATGTGGATCTTTACAACCTCTTATACAGAGAAAATACTTGTCAATTGATGACAGTCAGCAAGTCGGTGAATGGAATACGAACAGTCAATTGCATTCTGCTGAGTGCTCAAAAACCATAGCTGCAGATTTATGGATTAAACATCATATTTGCAATTTATTTTGTTTCATGAAAATCCAAAACACACTTGAGTAAACACTCAATCAATGAAAGTACACTATATATAGCAAAATATATGTTAAAAATGGTTAGAAATAACTGTAAAAAATATGATAGAATAAAAAGATTTACTAAAATACTAATATATTTTTACATATACTTATAATTGTTATTATTTATTATAATATTAAGTGTTTTGTATTTATATTATAAGCAAAAATTGCAATTCATTTTGTTTTATGAAAATGCAAAACAGAGATATTTAATTTACAAAATAATTATAATAAATAATAGCCATTATAAGTATCTGTAAAATCTGTATGTGTATATATATATATATATATATGTTTATTTATATAATTATTTATTATAATTATAGTTATTTATTATATATATATTATATATATAATATATTATTTTATAATGAATAATATCCCTATTTCTGTGTGGTACATTTATTATAAAGATCAAAATTTGTCAAAGGTCAAAAATTTTAACATGACAAACTAACTGTTTGTTTTAGATTTTGGCTGACCACAATTCTGAAGCTAGTTTGCTAATTTCTAATCATTTAGTCAGCATAAACTCACGTCCCATCCATCTTAACACTCAAATGATCCAGCTGCGACGGAGCAGACATTTCATACTCAACATATTGATCCTGCACTAGATTAAGTCCACACAGTGTGCAAAATAAATTAAGGCATGGGCGGCACGAGATTCAAGTGTCAGGGACCAACCAGAGAGCGAGAGCATGAACAACTGCAGGAAATCTATCACCCTCACTCTGCAACATCACAGCGCTTGTATCGGGACCCTGCATAAGATCAAACACCACGGGGCATGCTGTAATTAACCTGAAATATCATAAATCACCTTACTGTAGCAGACTGTGCACTGTTTTTCAGAAAATGTTTATATAGGTATTGCATTTAATACATCAACAACATTTACATTTTTAATAATGTTTGTATGCAAGAACTTTCAGCAATAAATGTCCCCTTCTCTTTCTGATAATATATTTCTTTCCTTAGGTTGGTTTGACACATGTGACCCTGGAGCACAAAACCAGTCTTAAGTCGCTGGGGGATATTTTTAGCAATAGCAAAAAATACATTGTATGAGTCAAAATTATCGATTTTTCTTTTATGCCAAAAATAATTAGGAATGGTATTAAGATAAGATCATGTTCCATGAAGATTTTTTGTGAATTTCCTACCGTAAATATATCAAAACTTAATTTTGATTAGTAATATGCATTGCTAAGAACTTAATCTGGACAACTTTAAAGGTGATTTTCTCAATATTTAGATTTTTTTGCACCATCAGATTCCAGATTTTCAAATAGTTGTATCTCAGCCAAATATTGCCCTATCCTAACAAACCATACATCAATGGAAAGCTTATTATTTATTCAGCTTTCAGATTATTTATAAATCTCAATTTTGGAAAATTTACACTTATGACTGGATTTGTGGTCCTGGGTCATATATACATATATAGAGTGACAGGTGTGCTTAAAGCATACATTTGGATTCAAAGTGGCTTATCCAGTCAGATTTCAGAGCCAGACCTATGATTGTTTTGTTTTTAACATTAGCTGCAATCAGTTTACATTCAGATGTTTTATATGATATAATCAAATTACTTCATGTCTGGAAAATCTCCAAACGTTACTTACACATCTTGAAAATCCTCTAAAGACTTCTGTGGTGTGAAGACATTTAATAAGCTGATGATCTGGAGGAGACATGAAGAGAAGAACTTTAGTAAGTCATGAAGTTATACTATAATGCTCTGTTGGATTAATTATTAAAGGAATAGTTCAGCAAAAAAAGTACATTTTCTTGAGTTGTTGTATAACATTTTTTAACTTAAAAAGTATATGAATACATATGAAGAGTTCATTTCCAAAAACCGATAAACGCCACTTTAAATAAAATGAGCTGATTGCCGTGCATTATTCTCCACATATAGCGCAATCTGAACCTTAAACACCTTTGTCAAAAAAGCCGGTTTTGTCCACTTTCAAGGCATCGCGAGTTCACGTTTTACTGCAGAAGCCGACAAGTGCTCTTGTTGTTTTTGAACAGAAACCGATAAGTCAATTTTAGCGAATCAGCACGCTGTATTCAGGTCAGGTGACAAGGCTACTTTCACTTTGAAAAGATGTGCTAGCTGAGAGGAGTTTTGTCAAAGCTGACTAAAAGTGATCGAGGATGGATAATTTCGACGAACTTGATGAACCTGTGATATCTTCTTCAGGGCGAAAAAGGAAAATAAAAGCTGAAACGTTTTCACGGAACCTTGCAGAAGCAGCACGTTACAATGGTGAGGGAAAAGCTCTGTGTATTGCGTGTAATCACATCCATACAGTTTATGATCACAACAACAATAACGTTTGTCAGGCATCTACATTGTCATCTGAGGAGATTACAAAGATTAAACAAGTGTTTTTTAAACTCTAAAACATGAAATGTGGAGTTATCTGCTTTTGCCAAAAAACTACTGTTGGAGTTGTCTGCTTTTGCTATAAAACAAACTTTTAATATGTAAAAAAAAAAAAACTTTCAATGAACTTTAATTTGGTAAATTACCTGTATTTGTTTAAGTTATTATTACTTAATCAAAACAACCCAACTGCAGTTTGATTGATATTACTTCGAATGCGCAATAAAAAAAACGTGATTTCTGAAATCAGTTATCGGTTATCGGTTTTTGCAAATGAACTCTTCATATATAAAATATATAAACAAGTATTTATTTTTATTTCAGTATTATTATTTAGTTAACTAAACTTAAATCATAAACTTTTGTTACTTGGAATAAAACGTTAACTGAAATAATAAAAAAAAACATATTAAAAAACATATTTCAGCTATGTACTTTTTTTGTAGTTCTAAAATAACAAACTAAATAAGCTAAAACTAATAAATACAATTTTAAAAATAGACATGATTTTTTTTTTAAACTAAGAAAAATGACAAAAACACACAACAAAACTAAAACTTTAACTAAATTTATAATAAAAACTGAAAATATAAAAATAAAATCTAATTTAAAATATTAACAAAAACTATAAAAGGATATCAGTACACAGGTATCGGATGACACCTAGATGACTAAATAATGACCGAAACATAATTTATCTATGAACTATTCCTTTAACTACTCATTTTGAATGTGAGGGTAAACTTTGCCCATGTTATTTTCCTCGAAAAGAGGCTGGAAGATCCATAAAAGGACTGTCAACAGTCGATAAGAGGTGAGGATGATTTTGTATTTCTGTCACGTCCTAGCTGTCCTTTATAACCCCAGTCTCAGAGAGAGAGAGAGAGGAGGAGGACAGGAGATCTGGCAGCAGCATTGTGAACTCTTCAGTTGCCAAAAAAGTGTTTCCTCTCTGTCTTTTAACAATATTACTCCCTTTCTCTCTTATTTTGTCATTCATCATCTAATGCTACCGATCCCTCTCCCACTCGGTCTAAGGTTTGTGTGCCGTGCAAGATATATACAATAATGTTCAATATGGCAGCCATATAAACAGAAGTCTCACAGTTATTAGCAGCATTTGCCATCAAATTGGACAACAGGGGAGAGATATTGTGATCTGACACTCACGTTTTTGTGATTGACACATTTCATAAGCACCAGCTCCCTGTATGCTCTCTTGGCGTGAGTCTGGTTCTGAAAAGGTCTGCTGAGTTTCTTAATGGCCACATTTCTGTCCAGGACGGCATCATATCCAGCACTGCCAGAGAGAGAGAAAGAAAGTAATATTAATTTGTGGGAAAACAAAGAGTTAGTGAGGAGAATGAAAATCATTTAAATGTTTAATCCACATTCAGAGTGGAATTCAACACATGACAGCATAACCATTGGCCAAAAAACAATTTTAAGGACACAAAGTGTTTTTGTTTTTTTTGCAGCTCATTACAATTTGATTATCTAAAATTATGAAGGTCATACAATAAACTAGATTTGCATTTTCGCAAAGAAATATTATTGTTTGCAATAAATAAATAATGTTAAAATTTGGGGGTAATTTTAGCTTTTACATTTTGATTTTACAAATGTTTATAGATGGTTTAATACACTGAGAAAAAAATGATGCTGAAACTATTTTCACTCAGAAATTGCTAGCAACTTTCACAATTAATTAAAAAAATAATGGCAAGTAACAAATTGGATTAAATGTTGAATTAAATAAAACATTTCGAAGTAGGAAGACTGAATTTGTTTGTCCAACATACTGAAATAAACTTATTTACAGCTTCGAAAACACAGTGTACACAGTGTTTAATACAGTGTAGATGTAAGAAAGAAAAAGTCAATCCTAATTCAGTATGCAAATATATGTGAGAAAGAAGACCAATCACACTTCAGTATGCAAATATATATTATAAATATATTGATTATATTGAACAGTATACAGTATATTGAACATTCTGTTCATGTGAGTTAATAATGTTTTCACATTTAAATATTTTTTTACAAATATTTTATACAGTAAATACATCTATAAATATATAACATCCAAGTAAACAAGCAATGAGCCCCAGGACATTTTGTGTACATCTTGCATGTACTGTAAAAAAGACAAATGTGTATCAATCACAACAGGGACAGAATGAGAGAGAGAAATCGAGTAATGTTGTTGACTTCAGGAAAACCTTCGCTGATCAGTTGGTGGAAAGAAGCAGAGTATGACTCTCTAATAGCAATATGAGAAAAGGGTTAAACCTGGAGTCACTCTCTCTCCTTCTCTTTCGCTCTGCTTTCCCTCACCACCCAGGAAAACCGTGCTCATTAACTATGCAAGAGCCGCAGCTCTCCACGGGAAAATACAGGATTAGAGAGGGCCAAGGCACTCAGTGTGTGTGTGTGTGTGTGTGTGGCTTCAATCCCAAAGCATTGCAGAAAACAAGGTAGCCAATGGCTCATTGTGATATAACACATTAGTGTTCTCTAATAAGTTGTATTTAAGGAGTTAAGCCCAGAAAAATTAATGATTCACAATTAAATTTCACAAATAAAATTGTTTCTTCAATCAACAAGCATACATGGAGGCCAAATGGAGGCAATAAATACATTTTTATAATAAATTAACCACAACAAAGCATTATTGAATCACAGTTGGTGATGCCCATCTCAGTTGTTTCCTGTGTTTTACTTTGAAGATTATGGGAAATTAATGCCAAACAGGCATAAAGTTCCGGCCACCTGGGTTTTGTGTAGTAGCATGACAGGAATGTGTCAAAATTTTTGTGTGAAGTATAAATGTGTTTGAATGATTATTTGAATGCTTATTTAATGTAAATGATTAAAACTATCAGCAACAAAATGTAATAATCATATATATATATATATATATATATATATACACATAATTATATTTATATATTACAATTATTTATTTAATTAATTATTTATTATTACTACATACATAATAATATATTAATATGATAATAATAAATATCACACACACACACACACACACATATATATATATATATATATATATAATAAAAAATATAGAAGAGATAAGAATTATATAAGAAAATATAAAGAAAATTATATATTAATACAGACACATACACAAACACACACACACATTGAATATATTCCCCTCAGCGTGGCAGTAAGAAAACCTGGTTAATGCAGCAGTAGAGCCGTTGGTTAAAAGCACTATATTTTTACGACTGGACCAGGTACAAGAAGTGCTACCAGAAGCCTTTGTGTTCTGAAAGCTGCTGAGGTTTACGACTGAATGCTTCAACCCACAAGGCTGCACTGAAAAAGTCTGCTCTTTAACCATGTTGACATGCGCCGGTAAAGGTTGAAGTGCCATTGTTAATAAAAACATGACTCACACAGGTCCAGGAAATGTAATGATTGAAAAATGAATTCCTCCTGTAGCACCCCTTGGAGCCACAGACAGGAACTGAAAACTGAAAAGTTGAAATTGTGCCATGTTCTACAGTCAAAACTGACCTTCACTCTTTTAATCCCCAATAAAAACCTATTAAAAAGCCTTCTGGGTGAATAAAACGTGAGTACTTGGGCACTTGTCTGTTTTCAATGCAACCTTTTTTAAAACCTCCACACTGGACCTCTATATAATAGTCTGAAATCAAGATTTCCAAGGTCCATATGGATCTTTGATTTACCTATGGATTATTTGAGCGGACAGTCAGAGCTGTAGAGTTGGTTGTACAGCAGATGGTCAAAGCAGAAGGGGGTGAGGTACACCAAAACAGTCTTTCTAAGAGGGGTGAGGAAAAACCCTACAGACGAGCCACACACAGTGAAAGAAAACCTACAGTATACACTAAACCAAAGTGCCATTACAAAAGAAATTGCAAATAAACCACACAGTAAAAATTTTATTTTCAAAGAATGCTGGCATCATACATTTCAGAAGAAAACACTGATTTAGTCTTTCTAATTTAGAATTTCATCATTAATTCAATGTTACTTGCTGTTTCTTAAAATCAATTGTTAAATTTACTAGCAATTTCTGAGTGGAAATTGTTTTTACACCAAGTGCAGCTGAATTATACAGTACTTCAGTCCACTAGAAAGTAAACCATGTGATTTTAAGCCATCAAGATATTCTCTCAGCTGCAGCAGGAACGTTTCTAAAGCACGTTTTTGGAACCGAGAAGTGATGTGTCCATGGTAACGGCAGTTTGAGAGATTTTTTGGCTAATGGCGACCGTAGATATCCATTTGTGTCAAAGATGATGTCACGGCTGTCTCTCTAGGTGGTTAATGCATTGCAGCATTGCTCTTCAAGAGCCCTGCCTACAGGCAGCTGTCACAAACCAGACACCATTTTAACTACTTGAACACCACATTTCACGCTACAGAATAAAAACACAGTTTGTATGAATAGACCTGACATATAACCAGAGACACCATATCACAAATAGGATATAGCTAAGGAATTGCTTGCCTAAAAATATTATGTGATCATTTTCTCTTTTGCATATATCTAAAAGTATTAGTCTTTCTTCTAAGAAATACAAAAAACTGTGTCAAAACTTCTTTTCCATCTAACGGAAATGATAACTGGTAAATTATTCGTAATGATAAGCTCCAAAAATGGTCACAAAAGCCACTTAAGTCCAAATGACTTGTCTTCCAAAGCTACACGATACATTTAAACGTATAGCTCACCCAAAAATGAAAACACAAACACGAATATTGTGGAACACAAAAGAAGATATTTTGAGGAATGCTGGTAACCAAACCAAAGTTTTGGATTCCATTGACTTCCATTGTATTTTCAAACAAAATGCAATGAGAACCAAAACTGTTTGGTTACCAACATTCTTCAATCTTCTTTTGTGTTCCACAGAAGATGGAAACTCATACAAGTTTGGAACAATATAATGGTTAGTACATTTTCAGCAATTTTTTTTTTTTGGGTGGACTATATAGGAATAGTTCAACCAGAAAATTAAATTTGCTACAAATTATCAAATTGGGAGAAACTTAACTATACTTCACTTGCTCACCAATGGATCCACTGCAGTGAATGGGTGCTGTCAGAGTAACAGGTTTGTTTCTTACAAACCCGCAGTTTTTCACTTCATAAGACGATAACTGATGGACTGGAGTGGTGTGGATTACTTGTGGATTATTGTGATGGTTTTTATCGGTTGTTTGGACTCTCATTCTGACGGCACCCATTCACTGCAGAGGATCCATTGGTGGGCAGGTGATGTAATGCTAAATTTCTCCAAATCTGTTCCAATGAAGAAACAAACTCATCTACATCTTGGATGGCCTGAGGGAGAGTGAATTTTCAGCAAATGTTAATTTTGGGTGAACTACTCCTTTAAAGGAGTCATATGATGCAATTTCAATTTTTCCTTTCTCTTTGGAGTGTTACAAGCTCTTGGTGCATAAAGAAGATAAAAATCGACGCGTTTCAGAAAGGCGGGGCATAGAGGAGAAACAATAATGTACAGTGTGTGGAAAATAATGTGTTTTTTTAACCTTAAACCGCATAAACACATTTCATTACACCAAATTCACAAAATAATGTTCTTTTTAGCAACATCATATGACCCCTTTAAATCTTTATTTGCTGAGGATGATTAAGACATCTGACATTGCTGACAGAATTTTATTCCACTACAAAAAAATGATTAAAACTCTTTTTTTGCACCATCATCATCAATCATCTTTTTTTTTATTAAATACATTAAAAATCATGTTCAAGTACTATAAGCAAAGCACAATACATCTCACACCCCAATCCCAACTCTATGCGGAGAAGAAGTGGAAAAGATGACAAAGTCGCTGACAGCCGTAGTGGAGTTTGGTGACAGCCTGGTGAAATTAATCACAGCCTAGTGTAATTAACTTGACACTAAGTTCATCACAGTGTTCAGCCCCTCTGCCAGCTGCACAACAGTTTGGCTCAGAGCCTTTGTGGCCTGTCATACACAAGACATGTAAATAAAGGTGCTTTTTTGCTATGAGAGTTTATATAGTCATCAAGCTATTTTCAGAAATTAGTACTAGAGTATTGCTCATTGCATATTAGAACTAATATAGTAAATATTCATTTCATGCATTGTGTATGCATATTTTTATACAATATGTACACTACTGTTCTAAAGTTTGGGGTAGGTAAGATTTTTTTTGTTTTTGAAAGAAATCTCTTATGCTAAGGCTGCAATAATTTGATCAACAAGTAAAAGTGAAACAGTAAAACAGCAATATTGTAATATATATTAAAATAAAAAAATAAAATTGAAATAACTGTTTTCCATTTGAATGCATTTTTAAATGTAATTTCTTTATGTGGTGCAAAGCTGGATTTTCAGCATCATTACTCCAGTCTTCAGTGTCACATGATCCTTCAGAAATCATTCTATGTTGATTTGCTGCTCAAGAAACATTTCTTATTATTATCAATGTTGGTGTTGTGCTGATAACTATTTTTGTGGAAATTTATAAGATTATAAATGTTTTTACTGTCACTTTTGATCAATTTAATGCATCCTTGCTGAATAAAGCATGCAATACGCAACAATAAATGTTCAAAACTGTGGTATTTTACACCGTCACAACCACATTACGTTGCATGTTTTTTCAGGGCATTGTGTCGAGTTATTTAATGTAAAAATGTCTTTTGGGTGTACAATCAACTAATGCGCCAAGGAAATGTTATAAACCATGATTAAAAGTGGAGGGTCAAACTGAGCGCATTTCATTGGGAGATATTATTAATAATAGGACAAATGTCTTGACCTACTGCATTTATACAGTGCACAATATACTTTCTACATGAATAGAGTGAGTAGTGCGAGCACAAAAGCTGACTTCAGAGAAACACAAAAACACAGCAAAAAACTTCTTTCTTATACTATTTGGGCCTAGAAATCCCGAGGGAGTCTGACAGCATCCTTTTGCTTCTTTTGAAATTGCCTTTGCACTGCATAATGGATTATATAATACAGAACAGATGCTAGTAATGTTTTTGGGCATTCTGTTTGTTTTATAGATATTTGTATTTACTTGTATGTTTAATTTCTTGGCACACATCTTTTTACCAAACATCCAATATAGGAGAGAGTTCTGCAAGATAAGAATCTGATTTTCCAGCATACGCAGTCAGGAGATTGGTGTGCGAGTGTGTGGTATGCTCAATTATTAGCTGCCAAACCTTTAGCAGCGGCACGATGCCAGATGCTCATAGCTCTGACTATTACTCGGAGGAAAGCAGCACTGCGTCATCTAAATATTCAGCATGTAGCTTTCCAACCTGGACTGTGAATGATATGATGGATCCATTTAATAACTCCACAGACCCAGCTAGCAAATAAATATGCTGTGAAAAGGTTTAAGTCATGAAAAGCTTGTAATAACCTAAGCTACATACTTAATAATATGACAATGTTTTGTTTATTTAATGTGATATATCTATATATCTATATATACAGTGGGTACGGAAAGTATTCAGACCCCCTTAAATTTTTCACTCTTTGTTATATTGCAGCCATTTGCTAAAATCATTTAAGTTAATTTTTTTCCCTCATTAATGTACACACAGATATATATATATATATATATATATATATATATATATATGCACATTATTTCAGAAGTTTGGCCGGTATAAATTTTTGCAGAAATGTTGCAAGCATTATCAATATCAGTGATAAAATGTAATATCAGTGATAATACATAATTATTTTCTGAATTCAAAGTATGTTTTATAAGTTGTTTTATAAAATTAAATTAAATTAAATTAAATTAAATTAAATTAAATTAAACCTCAGATGTTGTTGTTTGATTTTGTTTGGCGTAGAAACCGTTTTCTCCCACAGAAGACTAGTCAATTTCACAAATTATTACAAAACATCAGCAAGTAATGCACTGAATTAAACACGTAAATTGAAAGACTGGAATAGTATTTTTTTTGTAAAACATACTCCAATAATTGTTACAATTTCAAATCAACACTTTTATAGTGTCTATGCAGTTTTGGTAATCACAATACATCAACTGCAAAACATTAATTGTGTAGTTTAGTTTGATTTTTAGATTTCTAGCCTTTAAGCTTTTAAAGTTTTTATAACTTTTTTTTTTTTTTAAATATTGCAGCAATATAACCTAACCACACCAGTTTTATCAAAGCCTGTGGAAAACATGTGACTTTGCAGTCTTTTTAAACTGTCCTTCTTCTGCCTCTCTCTCTCTCTCTCTCTCTCTCTCTCTCTCTCTCTCTCTCTCTCTCTGGAGAATGATGTGGCGTTTGTTAGGCTAATACAGCTGCCATGCTACATCATGTGACTGCTGCTGAGGAGAGGAAGCTAAATTAGATCAGGGTTGTCCGTCCAGCAGGCAGGATTACTGCAGCCAGCAAACCATCCAGAACACATCAACAACGTCATTAACAGTCCAGTCCTGCCTCCTTGCCTTCTCCGCACGACCATACCGCTGCCACTGAAACTGAGATGCAAAGAAAGAGGACTGGAGGAGGGGGAAAAGACAGGGAAAAAGGAAAAGGGAGGGCCACCTTGATCCAGATTTCCCATAATCCCATAGGCGAAAAGTCTGCGACTCAAAATTCATTATAAAAATCACAGGGTTTGGTTTTTGGGGAGTGCAACGAGTGCAACGAGCGCAACTCGGATCCAAATTAGCTGCTGTCTTCTGGGAACTGCAATTCAACCTGCCAAGAAACTCCCAAATATCGCTCTTAAAATTCAAAGCCTCAATCAGGAAGATGTTTGAGAAGCATTATGCCACATGGACTTATTTCACAATAAAAAGACAAAGCGGTGCATTATGGGTACTCACCACACTATTCCCTGAGCCCCAGAACCGATGGGCTTTAGATTTTGGTACCGTTTGAGAACCGTGAAGGTGGAATCTCCTACTTCCACACTGTAGAACTGGTTGTCCACTTTGCTTTTACTCATGTTGTAATGCTGGGCAATGTAAGAAACATCAACTTGTTTGCCAAACCCCTGGATGTGGAGAAAAAGATGGATGTATGAGCTGAGAAGAGAACATCACAGAACTTGGGTTTAGACAGTTGAAATAAGCACTTGTAAGGTTATTATTTTAAAAAAGCACATTCATAAAGTCATAAAAATATGTTTGAGCTTCAAACGAGTGACCTCAATAGTGATATAATAAACAGTGTGAAGAGGTATCGATAAAACTCTTTATCTTCTTTTCATCAGCTCAGGATGTAACTGTAACAGGCATAACAGGCTGTAATGTACAGTAACACTATAAACCTACAGATGAGTTTGCTTAAATGGTTTGTAGATAAATAAACGATTGCAACGTGATATTGAAGCTTTATATTTAGGTCAAACCACACACTAGGCAAATAAATTAATATAATTAAATGAAATGAGGTGTCACAAATGAGTGAAGACAAAAATTGCTTCTATTACTATATGCAATTTGAGAAGATGAAAGACTTTATATCTACAAGCCTGAATTAAGAATATAAAACATAAAAATTAGACTAGATTATCTTATTATAAGTAAGACACTTTTATAGTTTTTATTCATATTTTATTCACACATGTTTTTATTTCCATTTGAATTATATATATATTTATCTTATGACAGTAGTAAGTAGTATATATATACACACACACACACACACACACACACACACACACACACACACATCTGTAATCACAACTCACACACACACACACACATCTGTAATCACAACTCACTCACACACTCACTCACACATCTATAATCACAACACACACGCTCACTCGCACACACTCACACACACACACTGTGTAAGCTGTCAAACATTATCTACAGATCAATACAGAGCAAACAATACATATCTAAATATTATATCTGTGTTCTTTTATTAAGTAGATGTGCTAGTTTTGAGTGTTTAGACTTCATCCAGAGATCTGTCTGTTAATTATTCTGATCTCAAACACACAGAGAAACTCCTGCTGAAGCTGAGATCCTCGAGACACTGTTATAGAGATGGAGCTTATTAAAGAGGAGAGTGAAGACGTGAGGATTGGAGAAGCTTTCAAACATGAAGATCCTGAGGAACAAACAGGTTGGTTTTCATTCTCAAAGCCTTTCTTCAGTCATGTTTCTCTGGCGCGATTATTCTGTAAATTATCCCCAGAACAAAATATTTGTGCCGTCCACAAATAAAATACATTTTAGTTTATCTAATACTCTGCATGTCATTGATATCGATTATAAACAGTATTGGTCCTAAGACCGATCCTTGTGGTACACTACAAGTTATGTTCATGTATGTAAATCTATGTTCACCAATTTCTACAAACTGTTGCCTGTATATCTGAATATATGGCTATGATAGGCTTCATTTGAGCCAAACATTCTCCAACAGATTGCATTTTTGCTTCAGTATCTATTTTGCTCAGGGGTGAAGAAAAATCTGGTGATATTTTTCAACCAAATTCTCTCGAGATTGAGGAGTATCTCGTCTTCCACTGTGATTTAAGAATACTTTTCCAAACGTCTTCTAGGATTTCAAAGTTTCCCTCCATTTCCCATTTATTTCTTATAAACTGGGTATTTTCTAATTTACTGTCTTGCAGACTTTTATGCAATTTTGCAATTATTTTAGTCATTTCACCCACTTTATATACTGAAATAAACAGGGTAAGAGTACTATTATTTTCCTTTTCCATTACAGTTTTCTTGCCCTTAGCTCTATTTTGTCTGCCTTTTGTCATGTAAATTGAAGAAGTTAATATATATGTTGACTCCATTCTTAAATCCTGGGACCCGCGGTATATATTTGATCTCCCAGTTCTGCCTGCTCCCGCTTGATTTGTGTAGGGACCAGTGCTCTACTGTAGGTTTTTCTAAAGGGTTTGATAGCTGCCAGCTTGAAAGTATTTGGGAAGTGTCCTAAAGAAAGCCAAGAATGAACAATATTGACAAGAGGTTCTGAGATCACAGGTTACACGGTTTCAGTTGTTTGCTGGGTCTAGCATCTAACATGCGTGTTGTTGGATTTGATGGTTTACTTTCTAAATGTTTCCACGTCTTTGTACCACAAAACTGGTGTTGACTTGTTTTTGTTTCCGTTCACCCTAGAGCTGATGCCACTGAAAGAGGAGTATCAAGATCTGAATAAAATGGAAGAGAAAAATCAGTATGAGAAAAGTCATGACTTAATGACTGGGGAAAAATCTTTTAGTTTCTCACAGACTCATAAAACAGAAACTAGGAACCTTGAAGTCCACACTGAAGAGGGTCATTTTAGCTGCCAGCAGTGTGGAAAGAGTTTCAGTCGAAAACAAAGCCTTAAAATCCACTAAAAAATCACAGTGGAGAGAAGCCGTTCATATGCCCTCAGTGTGGAAAGAGTTTTACACTGAAAAAAACTCTTAGTGCCCACATGAGCATTCACACTGGAGAGAAACCTTACTCCTGCGAACTTTGTGGGAATGCTTTCTCACGAAAAGAGAGTCTTAATATTCACATGAGAATCCACACTGGAGAGAAGCCTTACCCCTGCCAGCAGTGCGGGAAGAGCTTCTCAGTAAAGGGAAATCTTAAAATTCACACGAGAATCCACACCGGGGAGAGGCCATTTATATGCTCTCAGTGTGGAAAGAGCTTCTCGCTAAACAGACATCTTGAAGTTCACATGCAAGATCACACCGGCAAGAGGTTGTTCATCTGCTCTCAGTGTGCAAAGAGTTTTAAGCAGAAAAAAGAACTCGATGCCCACATAAAAATTCACACTGGAGAGAAGCCTTACTCCTGCAAACTGTGTGGGAAGAGCTACAAGATCAAAGCAATCCTTAAGATTCACATGAGAGTTCACACTGGTGAGAAGCCGTTTGTTTGTGATCACTGTGGAAAGAGTTTCAGATATAAAGAGAGCCTGAATCATCACATGAGGATTCACTCAGGAGAGGACTGTTTTATTTGTCATCTGTGTGGAACGAGTTTCCCAGACAGGAATCACCTTGAGAATCACGTAAAAATTCACGCCGGAGTGAAGCTTTTCATGTGCCATCACTGTGGAAAGAGTTTCAAACAAAGAGTGAACTTTGAGAATCACATGAGAGTTCACACTGGAGAGAAGCCTTTCTCCTGCACTCAGTGTGGAAGGAGCTTCACAGTTAAAGGACACTTTGAGTATCACATGAGACTTCACACTGGAGAGAAGCCTTACACCTGCCCTGATTGCGGAAAGAGCTTCACAAATAAAGGAAACCTTAAGACTCACATCAGAGTTCACACTGGAGAGAAGCCTTACAAGTGTCTTCAGTGTGAAAACAGTTTCACATATCACACAGAACTGAAACGGCACTTGCAAACTCACTCTGGAGAGAAATTGCTGTTTTCCTCAGTGTGACGAGAGGTTTAGGAAAAGGACCAATTTCTTTTTTTTTCAATTTCAACAGTCATTGTTGCATTCACTCTGGAGAAAGACCATTACGTTGTGATCAGTGTAATAACATCAAACTTAGACTTACAAATGGAAAGTCATGTAAATGTGAAACCGCGTTTGTGTTCTTTAAAAAGAGTCCCCTTACAAAAAGAAGTTTATTCAAGTGTGCTGTTGGTATACTCTGTTAAAGGGGTCATATGATGCGATTTCAAGTTTTCCTTTCTCTTTGGAGTGTTACAACCTGTTCGTGAATAGATAAGATCCCTGAAGTTGCAAAGACTAAAGTCTCAAATCCAAAGAGATATTCTTTATAAAAGTTAAGACTCGTCCACGCCCTCCTAAAACGCCTCGTTTAACACTAGAACTACCAAGGCAGTCATTAGGGCCTTTCGCACCGCGGGAACCTTTTCATAGTACCAGAACTAATTGTGGAACTACCCACTTTTGGGCGTGTTCGCACCGCCGGAACTGGGAGCGATTTTAGTACCGGACTGCCTTTTTCGAGAACCAAATTAGCTGCTACTCCGGAGCAGGGTCTAACCAGCACAACTGGTACTAATCGTGACGTAACTAGACATTGATTGGCCAAACGCGTATGAAAACGCCCTCACCCGCCATGATTTAAAACACCGTGTAAACATACTGTAAGCATTGTGTCAACTTATTTCTCAAGTATGGAGAACAGCGATAGATGGACGGATGCTGAAGTGCAGGCACTTATAGCAAATGTAGCACTGCCAGTTGTTGGAGATTCTTAGTCCTCCTTTCCGTTCTTTCAATCGCTTTACGTA